TAAATCAGTATCAAGATAGAATAAGGATTCACTTACATATTCTAATTTTTCCCATACAACATGTTTGAAGACTAGAACACGCCGGGTCACTTCAATGACCGCATCGAGTCTCTCCTTGGACGGGGGCACATTCGTCTGAGAATTAAGTATGGAAAGTTGCTGTTTGCAAAGGAAAATAATAGCTAATTAGTTACTGGATATCTAAAAATTGTAAGGTGTGAGTGAAGAGCCTCCTTACACCAAAAGTGAACGGAAAGATAACTCTGTTCTTGTCACCAGCAAGTACTTTATCGTTCAAGAAATGACCATAAGCCTCAACCAATTGTAGATTGACCCACTCTAATCGCTTCAATGTCAACAAATGAAGACGGGCGAGTTTAACTGAAGGAGTGTGCACCACCAAGCCCTTACCCTCAGGGGTACTGAAGAGGAACTCAACCATACGACGAGCAACTGGGTCGAGCTTTGTCGATGCATCCTTCGACAAATAATATACTGATGAAGAAGCATATGGGTTCTTCTTCGACCTCGCAAACTCTGGGGTCTTTAGTGTTGCAAGCCATTCCTCAGGTGTGTAGCTGTACAGACGGTCTCTGTCCTCGTCAGTCATATTCCTCTCATGCGTGATAATCACATCTGGACTCCTCTCAGCGCTCTTACAAGCCGCTTCTACCAACTCCTCGTCTGTAGGCAACATTCCCATCTCTGCAAGTTGATCGAACGACTCCACCACATCATGAGTAGTCGTCTCTAGAACTTCCTCCCTTGTAGGTGGGTCTTCTTCCTCGGCATTAGCAGCGCTAGTAGCCTCATGAGCTATCTGCATAATGTCCTCAAAAGAGGTATCTGGGACTGTATAGTGTATCACCATAGGGACTGTCGGCTCAAACACCTCCTCGTCCAGTGTCTCTACAGTCTTCTCAGCTTCATTCTCCACCACCTCAAATCTATTCTTCTCTTCAGGATCTTCTTCATATTTCTCTCCAGTTGTCTCCACTTGTGGCTCGACCTGGTCCTTCTCTAGAGGCTGCTCATCCATTTCCATTTTAGCTTCAGTATTCTCCACTTGGTCTTCCACCACCTCTGTTTTAAGCTGCTCTAGCACCTCCTCAACAGTATTCTCCAAAGGTCTCCTCCTAGAATCCACGACCTTGAACCTGCCATGCTCTTCCCTCTTTTCTATCAAATTCCCTAGTTTTGTGGCAAAGTCCAGCAATTTTCCCATATGCCGGTCAATCCCAGCACCTAGTACCTTAAGCTGGAAGACAAACGAACATTTTGCGCAAATTAAAAACTATATCCAAACTGGAAGACAAACGAACATTTTGGTCAATCCCAGCAATTTTCCCATATGCCGGTCACAGAATATCCAAATGCATTAAATTAATATCCAAACCTCACAAACCAGTATTCATAACTGAAAAGAAACCACAAGCTGATATCCAAATGAAACCAACAAATATTCTAGAACAACAATCTAAAATCCGACTAATATCCAAAGCCATTCCAACATGGCATCAAATTCACGGAAAGTACAACCCCACACCAAACAACGGAAAACAGTAGATCAAATTCACTCTTGCTGTTCCAAATTCCGGACAATCGTTTGAACCTTGTCCCTTCGAGCCAGCCACTTTTCAATCATGCTCTCAGTCATTTCCTTCAATTCCTTAAGCTACACATATGTTGTGAAATATTTAGGTTACTATATCGTCCAAGTCTACCAATGCACTATCTTAGTTAGGGAAGAAGAAAACATTTTACCTGCCCTAGCGGAAGGCTAGTCAAATCTTCAGTCCCCCACCATTCCACGGTGGGCATCGGTGCACGATCTGGAGGAGGAGCTGAACTGCTCGCAGCTGCTGCACTAGTACCCCCAATAGCCGCCGGCTGGAGCTGCCTGCGAGAGGCGATTTCTTCCCTACTCAGCAGAGCGGCAGCTAGGTCATATCTTCCCCTGGCAAAGGGGATAGATGTGCTTGCCCTCTCGACACTTTGCTTCCACCAAAACCGGCAGCTAGGTATGGTCTTTGTGTGCAACCCGCCTAGTTTTAGAGAGTCCAGCAGATGGAGCTGTAAAAAAAATTACAATTAATAAATGTTAAGCTCCATTTCTAGCAATTTAATCAACAAATATCCAGAGTCAACACAAACAGTATCTTATTTGACTAAACTGATATCCAGAAATCATTTCAAGCTAATTTCTTACAAAACAAAGAGTATCCGAGTTCAGTTAGATGATACCCAAATACTAAATTCACTAATTTTCATGCAATTGAACTAACAATTATCGAAAAGGTTAGGACTTACTATCAAGAAGTACCAATCTCCGAGAACCCACACGCACGGCGAGCCCAACGCCTTTACACCAATCGTACACCCTCACGCCCTCAACACTCCCACCTAGGTATGGGGCAAAGTCGAGCTTGCACCTCCGAGAAAATGTTGGCACGAGCATCGAACCAGTAGCTAGCAACAAGAATTGCTTGACAGCAATTGAAACAGGTGGTCTAGGACCGTTGGCTGGAATGGCCAACTCCCGCAGCTTCTTGATAGGAACCATGAGAGACCTGTTCGGAATCATGCCAACTTCCTCGCTGAAACTGTCGAGCATCCCCCCCCCCCTCAACGTTCTTCAAATCAATCACAGCCCCACCGGGAGGAAGGTCGTATACACGTGCCACATCCTTAGGTGTGAAGTCGAAGACCTTCTTCGAGTCTCCTTCCCCAAAAACAAAAGTACTGGTTGAGGAGTCATAAGCAGCCATCAAGTCGTCCATGAAGACATTGGGTATCTTCGGCATGCGAAGGTCCAATAGGCCCCCAAATCCTGCCTTCTCGACTTCTTTCTTGCATGCTGCATAGTATCCAGCATCTTGTTTCCAGTAGTTTATAATTTTGAAGAGGGAATAGGTGGAGCCACGAAATCTGAAGTATGAGCCGTAGGGTCCCTCTCCCTCATCATCTTCTTCCTCATCTTCCTCCTCACCTTCTAGAATAGCAGGCGGCGGCTGCCTTGATCCTTCTCCTTGACGAAATCTAGATGCAACCATTTTCGTTCTCTTCATCCCTGGTTGTTCCTCAAACACAGTTATATATTAAGCAAAATATCCATAATCCTTGGACAAATAACTAAAACGCACACTTAAATATCCACACATCAGACACTTAAATATCCTTGGACAAATAACAGAACTGATATCCACACATCAGAGTAGATTTTTAAGCCAATATATACAATTATTATCGTAGTAAAGCAAAAGTGTATCTAAATGAAGATAACTGATATCCATGAAAAAAATATCCATAATACCCAGAAAAATAACTAAAACGAACAGTTAAGTATCCACCTTAACAGAACTAATATCCACACATCAGACACATCAGATTATTTTTTTTAGCCAATATAACTAATCGAGAAACGAAGTGAGAAATCAAACCTTTGGTGGTTGTTCATCCGGCGGCTGCTGTGATGATCCAGCTGCTTCACGAGATTTCGCTGCAGATTTTGGTGCAACAGTTTTGGATTTCTTCCTCACGTGTTGTTCCTGAAACATAGTTAGATATTAAGAAAACTATCCAGCCAAGGAAAATATTAAAATGCATCCGACTAGTAATTTTTAGCCAACATAACCAATCGAGAAACGGAGTAAGAAATGAAACATGTGGTTGTTGTTCATTCGGTGGCTGCTGTGATGATCCTTCTCCCTCATTGTTGGGCTTTGAGTTCTTTTTCGGTCTCCCCATTCACTGAAACAATATAAAAAATGACTAGAATAAGTATCAGAAATGAAAAAACTGATATCCATGTAACCTTTAATCAAGGAATCGACAAACGATACCCAGATTCAACAAAATCGTATCCAACAAACCCCCCAAAATGGAATTCGAGAATCCATACTGAAACAATATAAAAAATGACCAGAATAAGTATCGGAAGTGACAAAACTGATATCCATGTAACCTTTAATCAAGGAATCAACAAACAATACCTAGATTCCCCAAAATCGTATCCAACAAACCCCCAAAATGGAATTCGAGAAACCATAAATCTGGTAACTAGAAGAAGAAGAAAAACCAGAGCCCCAAAATTCGAATCCCACAGACCCAGAATCTGGTAATCTAGAAACAAAATCCTAAACACCCATATTTGAATCCATGAAACCCTAAATATACAATTCGAGAAACGAAACCCTAAACCCCCAAATTCGAATCCCTAAACCCCCAAGTTCGAATCCCACGGACACAAAATCTGGTAATCTAGAATCAAAACCCTAAACACCCTAAATCGAATCGCATGAACCCTAAATTTTCAAATCGATAAACAAAACCCAGATTTCCACACAAAAAAATCCATGAAACCCTAACTTACTATCCACAAACAAAATGAACAATAAAGAGAGGAGAAGACGCAAACCTTAAGTGGTTAGCGATATCCTTGCAGTCTTCTTCAACCTCCCACTATCGGCGGCGACGGTGGCGGCCTTATTCGTCGGCGAAGTCGTCGTCTTCTTCTTTCTTCTTCGTCGGCGGCGTCTTCTTCCTCGTCGGTCGGGATAGCTTCAACGTCGTCGTCGACGGGAGATCCAACAAGTCGTCGCCGACCTCGCAGCCGTCGTCGCTGTTGGTGGTAGTTTTCGGGAGAACAAGAAACAGAGAGGGAGAGGGTTCGAAAGTTTTTTGGAGAGAGAGGGGAGAATGGAAAACGCGGGTTGAGGGAGAGAGAATCGGGTTTTGGGTTTGAAATTTTGGGGGTTTTTTTTTATTTCTGGCCCCAGTTCTCTCAAAAGTGGCTCTACTTGGGCAAAACACTCTTTCCCCTCACATCACAGCGCCAGTAATCTCTCACCCTTCGATAATGGCTCGGCGACGTGGACAATCATCCCACCCTATTAGTATCTACTAACCACTTAAAGAGTCGGCAGAATAACGCTATTGTACCATAGTAGCTTAGTGCTGCCATCCATTTCACCTATCAATTCGAACGAAACAAATAAATTCTCACTTTTCTACATTTCCGCAAGGATTTTCTTGGACCAGAATTTGCCATGAACAGCAATTCCCAGTGGATGGACGGTAGCCGTCCATGATAACCCGAGGGCAGAGCCCTTGTGGATGCGAACCGTCGCTCGTGAAGAGCTCTTCGAATTCCGTTGAAAAGTTGAGATATGAAAAGTCGAATTCGCATCCTTTTAGCCTCTTCTTCTTGTAGTTCTTCCCCGTGTTCCCTTCAATCGGCCGCCCATTTTTGGAGCTGCGAATAAACGTGCTCCACGTGATAAGGACTCTCTGGATCTCAAGGAATGGTGGAAACCTTTTTAGTGGGACAAAGAACAGTTGGGAGTTGTTGATATGTCGATTTCTCGTTCTTCATCCGCGGTAAAGCTGTGAATTCATAGCTTATTACATCGATTCGTCTCCTGGACGACTCATCTGAAATCCCTACTCTGAGATTCTCAAACCCAGTTCTTCGACGCTGGTCTAGCATTTCCCTCTCACACTTTGCCTTCCTTGAGCTCCTGGCTTTCTGGGTTATCGTCTTTGTTCTAAGGACTAAAGGCTCCCTTCTGCTCCGGAGGTTTGTTCCATCTTGATGTTTTCTGGGTTTTGGTGGGTTCTCAAGTTTATTGCTTAAAGGTCGCGTCTTCCATTTTCGCTAGTGAATGGTGATTAGGATTTCCGGTTTGATTTGATTTCAAGTTCTCAAGTTGCACTACCAACTCTGGATAAGTTTGATTCAGAATTTTGCTCTTGCAATTGTGAATTCAGGCATTAATGGGAGAGACAGAAGTGGACAGAGCCAACATGGACATTCCCAAGTGGAAGGAGAATGGGAAACGGAAGGGGTTTGATCCATCATTTCTAGTGCAGCTACCCAACAAGCTTCACAATTCTTTGAAGGTTAGTTGTTAGTTAATTCACTGCGAAAGCTGAATTCATAACTTGATAGTAGTCCTCCGAGGATGGGGCAACTGAGCAATTTCCAGTTATGTGCTTTCTACAGTCGCAGCTGAGGAGATTTGATATAGCAAAGAACAAGGTAGGAAACTCCCCCAGAAAGGAAACTGGGTCATCGGCTGCAATTGGGATTGGTCTAGACAAGCAGTTGGAGGCTTGGAGAGAAAATCCTTCTTGGGTTGATCAACCTCCAGTTATACAGGTATAGGAGTAGCTGCACTAAAAATTTCAAAACTTGCTGTTTCGTTAGACAAAAAACTGATAAAAAGTTGAGGGTTAGGCAGCTCTGTTGATCTTTTGCTTGAGTGTTGAATGCTTGGGATCTGATGTTGTTCTTGGCAGGTCAGTGTACCAAAGGGATCTCTCTGCAACCTCAGTGTGAAAGTCAATGTTGGGTTGCCACCTGATGCAATTTATGATATAGTGATCGACCCTGACAACAGGAGGGTTTTTAAGAACATTAAGGTACAGTTTTTTATACTAAGGCTGTTCATTTTCTGAGATTGTTTTTCTGTCCACTCTCCAAGTTTTTAAGCAAATCTTGTTTTGAATGGATAAATTTTTCCAGGAGGTGATATCCAGGAAAGTTCTGTATGATGATGGCCAGAGGCAGCTGGTTGAAGTTGAACAAGCAGCTATATGGACATTCCTTTGGTGGTCAGGGACCATGTCTGTCCATGTGTTGGTTGATCAAAACCGCAAAGATCACTCTGTAAGAATCTCAACATATCTATCTATCTATCTATCTATCTATCTATCCATTGATATATGTATGTATGGTTCCATTTGTGCTCTAGAACACATGAATATGGAAAAGTAATAATGATATATGTGATGATGGGCTTCACAGATGAAGTTCAAGCAAGTGAAAACCGGATTTATGGAGAGATTTGAAGGCTCCTGGAAAGTAGAGCCTCTGTTTGTTGATGAACAAATTTGCCATCCGTTGAAGCCTAAAACGTGGGCAGATTATGATTCCTGCACTGGAGGGAGAGGGAGGATAGGATCAGTAGTAAGCTTGGAACAGTTGATCCAGCCATCAATAGTTCCACCTCCACCTATATCTTGGTACCTGAGAGGAATCACCTCCAAAACCACTGAGATGATTGTGACTGACCTTCTTGCTGAATCTGCCAGAATCAGGGAAGGCATCAATGGTCCCCAGTTGGAAGAATCCGAGACAATAAAAAATGGGTTTGATCAAGAACGAAAAATGGAGTCATCTAATATCAAAGAAAGGTGGATGGTACATAGGAAGAATGCAAAGAAGCAGCATAAAAGACTCTTCCCTGCTGCATACCCTTCTTCACGAGATTGATTTGCAAACTGGGAACTTTCTGTTTCTTAGTAGTGGTACTTGTGTAAACTAAAGATTTCAATTATGATGTGGTTTAGAAAACGATACGACCGAGAAATTTCTTTTGAAATCCTCCAAATTTCGTTGTTTGTCACTTTTTGTGAGTGGTCTATCTTGAGAAACATTCGAAGTTCAGAATGAGTGTTTCTTTGGTGACCGGGAGAGATTTTCCATAGAGTTCATATTGGTATTTAGGATAATGTATCGTACCAATTAACTATCATAAAGTCATTATAAAAAAAAAAAAAAGGGTTAAAGACACATTTGGTTACTGAAATTACAAAATCGGGACATGTTTAGTCACTAGAAAAAATTAATATCAAATTTGGTCACTACAATTACTAAAACTGGACACATTTAGTCACTCGCCATTAGTCTACGTCCAACTCCGTTAATGAAGTCCGTTAAGTGATGATGTGGCAAACAGAATTGCCTAATCAGCCGGATATAACCCAACAAAAATAAAACCCGACCCGCCACGTCATTAAAACCAATGACCCAACCCCACCCAACCCTTCTTCCTCCTTCCTCTCACCTCCTTCTTTCCCCAAAACCGCCGCCGCCGCCGCTCTCCTCCTTCCTCCCACCACCTTTCAACCCACCCAGAAAACCAAAAAAACCCCTTTCCCACTTCTCACCTTCTCCAACATCGAAACCAATCTCCAACACCCCCACCTCCGCCCCAATTACAACCACCACCACCGCCACCAACCGGCGATCCCGTCCCCCTCGCCCCCTCTCCCGCCGCCGCCGCCGCCTCCTCCAATGAGCCCCCAGCTCCGACACCACCTGGACCTCGATCTCCGCTTCCCCTGCTCCGCCGCCGGTTCCTCAGTCTTCCAGCTGGGATTTCTGGGACCCTTTCCGCAGCAAAAGAAGATACTATTACTCCTGCTCTCTGAGAAAAACCCATCTCTCTGTCTCCACTCAACTCCTTTCCTCAATAGAGAAACAGAGAGACACCCAGTCCCAACTCCCAAGCATGACCTCCATGTCTGAGTCAGAGCTAGTTCGTGTGGTTCTCTTCCCTCTCCCTTCCCTCCTCACTCTGCTCCTCATCCTCAAAACCAAATCCCACCGCAGAGTAAAACTGATTGATTGATTGTGCCGGTACGGGAAGATATACAAGTCGAATTTGTTCGGGGAGCGGACGATTGTGTCGGCGGACGCAGGGCTGAACCGATTCATACTCCAGAACGAAGGGAAGCTGTTAGAATGCAGCTACCCGAAGAGCATCAGCGGGATTCTGGGGAAATGGTCGATGCTGGTTTTGGTGGGAGATATGCACAAGAACATGAGAATCATCTCGCTCAACTTCCTTAGCCACGCCAGGCTGCGAACCCATCTCCCGAGCCCACGCGGTCGGCGATTCTGAAGTTCATAGAGAAGAAAATGGAGGAGAGGATAAAGAGGAGCAACGAGGTGGGAGGAAGGAGGAGAGCGGCGGCGATGGTGGTTTTGGGGAAAGAAGGAGGTGAGAGGAAGGAGGAAGAAGGGTTGGGTGGGGTTGGGTTGGGTTGGTTTTAATGTCGTGGCGGGTTATAATGACGTGGCGGGTCGGGTTTTATTTTTGTTGGGTTATATCCGGCTGATTAGGCAATTCTGTTTGCCACATCATCACTTAACGGACTTCATCAACGGAGTTGGACGGAGACTAACGGCGAGTGACTAAATGTGTCCAGTTTTAGTAATTGTAGTGACCAAATTTGATATTAATTTTTTCTAGTGACTAAACATGTCTCGATTTTGTAATCTCAGTGACCAAATGTGTCTTTAACCCAAAAAAAAAAAATTAACTATCATAAAGTCAATACAGATATCACGGTTCCAAGATTGTCAACCCGCAGGTTGACCCGCGGGCCGACCGCTACAAGGTACCGGGTTGGAGGTCAAATTGTGTCATTTTTTTCATTGGTTTGCGAAATGCGCATATTTTCCGATTTTTCTTTTCGCCTAGCTCAATTTTTGGAATGCTAAGTTTGAATATTTATGTTATATAAGTGTGTGTGAATTTTCATTATATGTTGGATCTATATACGATATGTTATTTTGGTGTAATATTATATGTTATAACTCATATGTTAGATAAGATTTGATATAATTTATGAGGATAAGTACAATATAATGACTTTTTCCATATTCCCGGGCCAAACCGAGCTAAAACGGTTGACCCATTAACCCTTGACCCACTAGCTCGACCGGGTCCGGGTCAACCCGCGGGTTGACAACCTTGGTTCTAATAATCTCTTAAAAGTTCAGATTTAATCATTATAAAAAAAGATTTAATCTAAGTTTTGTTGTTGAACTTTTACTACACCATGAACTGTGAATTTCATCGGTGGCAGTTTTTATCTCCGGTTGAACTTGAGGATAACACCATAACAGCCAAAAGAACAGCAAGAAAGAAAATGCAACAATAACAATGCAGGAAATCGAGTTTTATTTATTATCCAATAAGACAAATCAGTAGCATTGTAGCTTTCTCTATTTACAGAACGAAATATGAACAGAAATACAAATCTTTTTCTTGGCCAAATGTCTCATTCGTTCCTTTCCATGTTAATTCTACGAGAAATATAAACAGAAGAAATTATACATGTGACTATGGAGTGAAGTAATAACTGATCTGTTTCTTGATAGGTAACCATTGGTTTATTGATGATTGAAGTTACAGCCTTTCTGATCTGCATAATTGCGTCTGATGTATGCTTTTAGTCGTGTACTACAAATGGTGATACATTTTTGTTTTTGCTTTTTGGGTAATACTACAAATGGTACATGAAACAGCTCAGGCCACATGATGGGCATCTGCAGGAGTGCTGCAAATTAAGTTCCTCATCTCTTGGAGCACCATGAACCCAGAAGAAGCCGTAGCTCATAAACACATGCTTGCTAAGCTGTATGGATAATGCAATTTATGGTTTCATTCTCTATCGATTCTCCATTTAGAGGACTCTGATAATCTGTATCAACTGGCGGCGATGTGCTAACTTGTAGCTGCAAAGACTCCTTTGCCAACAAGTCGTCAAGACGCTGTTTGTCATAGCTAACAAATGCACCCATTGCTCCCAGAAAACCTTCGTGCCGTAAGAACATTGCTTTTGCCTCTCCTTTGGACCTAAAAGTTTGAACCGGAAAAATAGTGTAAGTCACAGCTGAATCATTTTTGTCCATAATGAAATTTAGACAATCATGAAAATGGTGATTTGAAGGAACTTGCTGCCACGATTACCAGAAATTAACTGCAACAGAGATAGTATCCATTGTGTATGACTGTCCCCGAATGAAAAATCCACCGAAGAATATTCTCTTCAGGCCGAATCGGAGTGCATTCAAGTAAGAGATCTGTCATTAGATAGATATGGCAGCAAGATAGAAACAAAGGATCAGAGTGTAGCACTTAATAAAACATTGATATTCTCACCGTGTATGATTGGAACATTTAAATGTGGCTGGAAAGAAATGAAACTCAGTCATGCATAGCCCAATCAGTAGACATATTGGATATGAACATCCAGATATATCGTTTACCTACCTGTCCAATGTTGTTTGAAATCATTCTGAGAAGTGACCGTGCAATATCTTCAGGTTTGTAATCGTCAAGCTCCTTATCTTCAGATATTGCCTTCCCAAAGCTGGAAGCAATAGCTCTAGATGGTAGACCAACCTTGAATCACCATTTTAAAAAGGTGTCACATTATTGTAAAACAATTAGGGTTTTAGGGGAAAATCTCAGGAAAGACAAAGGCTGTAAAATTAAAACTGAATACTGATGGTACAGTTAAGAGCAGGTACATGAACTACTAGCCAATGGTCATCCTAAAGTTAAAAAAAAATGATTTTTACCTTTGAGTAATCCATTCCACCATAAATATCTCCAACAAGCATGTCAATCACCCGGTGATTCCCTCGATGACTCAACTCCAACAATTCATCAAAGCTGGAAGAGAGAACAACAAGACTTCTTGTCAACATTCATTGGCAGATTGTTGAAAAAAATCAATAAAGAAATCAAGCAGATGTGGAAGTAAAACCTCTTGCATTTTGTCAATAGGTTTCCCAAGCCCCAAAATGTGCCTCCTCCAATACTAGTTCCACTAACTCTCTCAAATAAGCCATCTCCGTCAACCTTTTTGCAACCACAGAGATTCATGCCAGTTAAGTAAAGAGAGGAAAATGCTCAAGGAACTTCCTTCTTTATTACAGCAAAAGAAGAGTACCTTGATCATGCTAACACCAGATCCTATGTTAACCAGTAGATAGGGATACAGATCATTATGGTCAATCTGCACGAACTCCTTCACCCCATCTATGTATGTGAATGCTTCCTGGCGGACTGCCTACTTAAACAACAACCAGATTAGAGACAAACGTTTCAGAAACCATAACAAAAAAGAAGCTTGGAAAGTTTAAGTGACGTGTCAAGAAAAGACAAGACAGCAAAATAACAGCTGCCACATGCTAACTAATGACAGAATTGAGCATTGCCTCCAAAACAACCCAAACAACCAAAAATGAAGATGTAAGAACATTATCCTTTTTGGCAAAATGGCGAATGTCCAAGTTATACATTGAGATTTTTCTACCAAAAATTTCTGGATAATATTCTTCAGAGCAATGGTATACTCATTTTGAACACTCAAGAGGATAAAATGCAGGCCAAAATGTATCATATACTGAATGATCATCCAGCAGAATTTACAGAAGACAAAAAAAAAAACTGAAGATTATGTCATTAAGATACAAACCTTCAGCAAAAAGTTAGCTCCGGCTACAAGACAATCCATTTCATCCTCCTTCTCAAGGGTAATACCGAGCTTTTCCTTGAAGAGATCAGCAAACTTATGTGCTCCCCCACCTGTAGCCTTAGAAAACGTAGCAACTAGTTAAAAACTATAAATTGCTAGCTATGCACGCCATAGATATAATAATACAGACAGTGTTCATTCAACCAACAGGTTTGTGAATAATATGGGCAATGAATAAAACAACAGAGCATATAATAACCCATGGTCTTGAACTCATGATGTTAGCATATGTAGATTTAAAGGAGCAGAAAGTGAACGTGAAGTCAGCATATAGGTTCAAGGTATCATTTGATAATGAAAGTTGAACTCCAAGTTCGATTAGATCTAACCAAAATTAAAGCACATCTAGTTGAGTTTATATAACACAGTTATTGCAGTTCTTACCTTAATGAAACTGGTATCCTTGATTGTATTGTCGTCAATTGTATTGTTTTGATGCACAAAACCTGTTCATCTTCATTCGTAAATAAGTGAAAGGAAACGCCCAACAAAAAGAAGGAAAGCCCCGAAGATAACATAAATCAGATCAGGTACAGAAGCAACTCCAGAGGGGAAAATGATCTCTAATTTCTAAGGGTCGTTTATCACATAAAGGCACAGTTAAGGGTTTGTTTGTCTGCTCCTACTGCCCTTCCTCCAGCTGCCACCGGTAAGATAGAGTTTCCTAGATGATGACCACAAATATATAGCAGAAGCTCCAAAGTAATATATGGGCAAATGTAAAATTACAAGCCTCAAATTCAAGGATGGTAAACTATTGAAAAGATGAAGCTCGTCATCAGAAAACTTGGGCCCTATTCACATACTGAATGGGGGAACTCAAGAAAGTAAAGCAAAAACATAGGCCTACCATTAAACTGAAGCTTCATGGATTTGATAGTCTCTAAGCATTGGTCTATCTTGCTTGTTTCCAACTTGGCAAAATGCAGACTTCCTTCAATAGCAGGACGCTTCTTTGCACAACCACCATTTGCAGAACACTCGTGATCCTGATCATCACCACTACCACTACTATCGCTTCGACAGAAATATACTGATTTTATTAATGATCCTGCAAGAAGGGGAAACAAGAACTTGTAACCATATGGCAGCAAAGAACCCTTATACATTCCCAACTTCCAAACAGTCGCTACTTCTATACTCTCGGTATGACACAGGAAGAAACAAATTGTGGAGAACCCAGAAAAGTGGAGCCGGGGGAACATTTGGCCCCAAAAGAAACGAACTTTGAATGAATGAAACAGTACCGCATATACAGCTGAAGAACAAATGGGACAGTACACCAACAAATTACGAACCCAACGCGGAAGAACAGAAAACCCAAATCCCCAGAAGATTAATCACCTCCAATATCCAGGGCCAAATGAGATATTTGACCATTGGGTTCTGTTGCTGTTTGATCTTGAACAATCTCCAGATTCTTCTCTCCCATTTCTCCTATTTTTCCCCAATCCCAACTCCTCCCCGACCTGTGTCTGCAAGTTGGGAGGGTGGTCTGTAAGCTGCAGAGCCTTCAATAAACGGAATTTCCTGTGCACTGAAATACAAAATCCAGCTCAAGGCCTGCAAAAGTACCCAACTGGATCAACCTCGGAACCAACCTCCTCCCACTTTTATCTATCTATCTATGTACACGCAGCAAAAGGGTTCCAGATTCTACGGCCCTTCCCTATATCCTTTAGCAACAAACCTAGATTGGCGTGCACCTGGTGCAGCCGAAGAATGACAGATAACAGGACAGGAAATTCAGGGAGAAAGGGGTGGTTTGATTTGGAGGGATGGATAATCTTTACGGAACAGAGAGAAAGCGGGCCAGCGAGGCAGGAAGATAACGACGGGGGGACCAAAGAAAGAAATGGAAGGAAGGAAATTCAGTGGTGGGTTTGACCTCTTTTTCTTCTTCTTCCTCCTCCTCCTGTCTGCTGTTCTGTTTATAACGGAAGATTGGAATTTGTTCGTTCGTCTCTGCTGCGCTGCCGTGATGCCCTTTTATACAGAGATCGATCTGGTCAACCAATAATTCACCAAATAATAATAGGATAACAAATTGGTTAACCAATATATCAACGATAATGTATATATATTATAATACACGTTTTTTTGCAGGTGGGCTTGTTTGATAATCTAAGTTTTTTCAGGCGGGCGTTGGCATCCTAAACCTGTAGTCCAAAATGGTGTGCTGAGTGGAGAGGTGGTGATTTTTCTTAGATACAGCAGAATAATGGGGTTTGTCATCGGATGATTCCAAATCTGGACGGCTAGCTAAAACTTTTGCCTGTTTTCCTCTGCGCTGGGACCTGTTAGGGTTAATTCTTCGCGTCGGCGAGAGTGGAGAGGTGGCAACCCGGCGGTGAGGACGATAGAAAAGTAGTAGACGACCGGCGATGGAGGGAGAGTGAACGGCGATGGCAGGAGGTTCGTTGGCGGAAGAATTAAAAGCCATGTTTGAGAAGTGTGATGAAATTGAGCGATTTGGGGTCCGAACCACAAAAGTGCTCTAAACAAAATTGTACTAGCCAAAAATCTTCACGTTTGATCACTCAAATTACACAAATCTTTCATGTTTACCACTCAAATTATTTTTCTTTCTAATTGGCCACTAACTTTATAAATTGTTTCACTGTTAGTCACCCGTCGTTAATCGCCGTCAGACTCCATTAACACCGTTAGTTTTTTTTATAACGTGGCAAACAGAATTGTTGTCTGGTCCGTTAACTCAATGACATGTCAATTAAAAAAATTAAAGAAAAAATAAATTAAATTATCCCTCATCTCACCATCGTTCCATGTGCCCAAATCACACTGTGCCACTCGGGGAAGAAAATCCTCCAGCCGCGCGCCCAACCCCGACATCGTCGATCCGAGTCGTCCCCAGTTACTCGCTATAGTCGCCGCTTCTGAATGCAGTGACTCTGCGGTGTCCTCGACGTCCACGTGTCCAGTCCGCCGCCTTCACCATCAATCAGGCACCGAGGTCGTTTCCGCCACCAGCACCATCGATCTCCTCGTCCCTTTAGCGAGGTCCCTGTTAGGGGTGGGAAACGGTCCAATCCGGTTAAAATTGGACCGGATTAACCGGGTTTTTTAAAACCGTTTTGATCAATACCACAACCGAAGACGGGATTGGATGGGTATCCGGTTTCAACCGTGACCGGACTGGATGGGATCCGGTCCGATCCGGTTTCAACCAAAAACTGGATGCGGACTGTTTCCTTTCAACCTCACTTTCCTTTCTCTTTCTTTCTTATCTGCTTCAATTCCATTCTCTCTCCGTCCTCACCTCACATTCGATTCTCTACCTACCTCACATCCCTCTCGACCTCCCTCAGACCCTCATCGGTCGCTGCCTCCATCTCTTCTATTTCCGATTCCTCCAATCAACCGGGCTAAGAGACAAACAGACGAGAGTCCTTGTCGCCGTCGTCACTGCCGTAAGTGATGGATCTGAAGAAGATGATGGCGGAACGAGAGGGATAAGCGTGGATGTCGTTGTGGCTGGTCGCCAACAACTGGCAGAAGTCAGATCGAAAGGGATGGATGATGGAGCGAGGCGATTGGTGACGGCAAGTTCTGGTGGAGGAGTGACGATGGTCGGCTCTCCGCTGTTCGTCGACGGGAGACACGGGACGTGACAATGGGATGGGATTGGCTAGCGGTAGAGCTTGGATTCTTTTTCTTCTTCTCCTTCTCCACTTCGTGTGCGTGAAAATTGGTAAGGGAACGGAGGGGTTTGAGGGTCAGAGTCTCAGAGAGGGAGAGAACAAAGAGGCGGCAACTGGAAAGTGGAAAGGGTGGTTTAGGGTTTGGGGTCCTGGGCTGAGGGCTGGGTTTGGTGGGAGACTGGGACTGGGCTTTTATCGGGCTGGCTGGGGGATGGGCTTTGGTTGGTTTTTGTTCATCCGGTTTTTCGATTTTGCCCGGTTTTAACCGGATTGGACCGGGCCAGTTTTTTATATGAATACTACAACCGCAAACTGGATTGGGTTAATTGGAATTCGGTTTCCGGTTACAACCGGGATGGTTTAAACTGCCCGGTTTCCGGTTTGAGCGAAAACCTGTGACCGGATTCCCAGCCCTAGTCCCTGTTACTACGGTCGTCGATCAAATTCCCACTGCACCACCGTTGTCTTCTCCAGCCGCCGCTTCCTCTCAATACTCTCACCTCTTCTCCGTCAAAACATGGATTCTCATATCTACACTCCATAATCTAGACCCATAATAAGATAATCCAACTCCACCTTCGAGATTAACGACAAAGGATTCACCTTGTCCCTGATTCATCATCTGGGCTCGTCTCAAAACTTATCGTTTCTTGAGCGATGTCGGCAGCCGGCAAATTCGTTGTCGGAATTGACGAATTTCCTTGATTGGAAGCTGAAGAGACCTTGTTGAGCTCGTAGAATCTAGCTTTCCATTCGCCGATCAATTCCCTCTTCTCCTGGCTTCACCCAACCAATTCGCTCTTCTCTGCCTCCGTCAAATTCGGCTAACGAGTTGTTGCGCAAAGTCGGCGCGCTTTCAGATCTTGTAAGTGCAGAAGGAACGGTGCGGCCGAGGAAAGGAGGACGGATCTCGAAGTGGAAGGGAGTTCACCTGGGATCCATCGGCGTCAGTTCCCCCAGTTGGAGCAGTGGTGGAGATGGAGCAGGATTTGTTGCTCTGGGTGAAGATGGGGAAAGGAAAGAAGACAAGTGAGGGGAAATGTGCTCTTATTTTTGTCTTCTTTTTATTTTTTTATTTTTTAAATTGACATGTCATTGAGTTAACAGTCTAGTCAGCAGTTCCATTTGTCACATTATCAAAAAACTTAACGGAATTAACGGCGGCTGACTAACGGTGAAACGATTCGTAAAGTTAGTGGTTAATAAGAAAAAAAAGTAATTCGGGTGGCAAACATGAAAGATGAATGTAATTTGAGTGACCAACCATGTAATTTAGCCAATTTTACTATGAATGTCCTAAATTAAAATTGAAAATTACATAAATGACCTTCATCAAACAGTGAAAAAACAATAAAATAAATATCATTCTCCTAAATTCAAAACCCCTAATTAATTACTTAAATTCCACTGTCCCTCTTTCCCCCCTCTGTCGCCTCTAGGGATGTCAATCAAACCTATGGTCGCGGGTACCAGGGGCGGAGCTACTCAAAGAGTAGGGTGGGCCCCGGCCCACCCGGGAATAGTCTCGGCCCCTAGGACCGTAAGAATTTTCGATAAAATTTGAATAAGTAGTGCTCGACCTATAAATTATATCATATAATAATTATTTGGTCTAATGGTAGCTAAGCTAAACTTTTAGTCTAAAGGAAACATGTTCGATCCACAAGAACCTCATTTTTGCTTTAACTTCTTTTTGGTCTTTATTATCTTAATTCTCCTCCACAAGGTCCTGGACCAAAGCAAACGGATACCCACTCCTTTTTCATTCTTTTTGTTACTTTAATCCAACTACAAATGAAAAAATCAACCTCTGTTTAGTTCACTTGGGATTTTTAGCTCTTTATACAAACTATATGATATATTTTTTTTTATCTATGTCGGAATGAACAGAATGATTAGTGTCAAAGGAATTTTATTTTGTTGTTAGGTTGATTTGTCTTCTTCTAACTCTTACAAATTTCTAAAGCTACATGTGATCGTGCATGTTTTAGGTATTAAGATAGTGAAGAATAGATTGTGAAACAAAATAAATGATGAGTTTCTTGTTAATGATTTATTTATTTATATTGAAAGAAAGATAGCTAAATTTTTTAGTTCATATGCTATTTTGAGAGATTTCAATGATCTCAAAGAACGTTGTAGAATTTAAAACTAAATATTTTATTTTTAATTACATTTATCTATTTTCGGCCCACCCGGTCTCGAAATCCTGGCTCCGCCCCTGGCGGGTACCCGAACGTCCCCGCGCCAGTCAATGTGGAGAATCCCCGCTTTGACCGGGTATGAGGCGCGTATGGGTAAAACCCGCAAAAAGTTTGATGGGTATGGGGAGGGTATGGTTTTAGCCTCCCCATACCCATACCCGCCCCACTAAGATAATTTTTTCACATATAAAAATACTAGCTTATAACCCGGCCCGTTGGCCAGAATATTTATATTTGACTATTTATATTTTCAAATTACGTTTAAATCTATCAACCCCTTTAATTTTATTGACAATCCTTCGATCGAGATACAAAAGATTGAATATATAGATCGAACATTTGGAGAAATATAAAAATGTATCATTGATCTCATTTTCAAAATGATAATTAAGTCCTTGGTAAAATGCTATTGGTTAGTTGATTGTCAAGAAAGATAGAGTATAAAAGCTCATTGAAATTCCCTCACTAAAACTTAAACCTCGCAATCCTACATAAATGTTCAATGCTCTCATTTTAGGAACAATATGCTACTCATCAAAAAGAATTGAAGAGTTGTTGATTCCAGACAACTATATGCTAACAACTCAGCTAAGAGGGGAACCATCACAACTTGAGAGCAAATGCTAAAATTAGGGTTACTTCCAATATAATAATAGATTCGATCAAAGTAATAAGAAACAAAATTAGACACTCTCTTTCTATTAGTTCCAGTAGGTTGAATAAATAATAGACCGACCTACTTCAGTAAATCAATTGATGATTCCTCGTTTTAAGATAGAATTAGGTTGCGGTGGCTTCAAAAATCATAAACCTAAAGATCCAATAGCCACCACTCTCCATTGTACGATAAAAATTTTATCCCCTTTATCTTCAATCTCAAGAGGCGTATGTTTCAACCAAAAATTCAATTTTTAATCCTCCTTCAGCACCTCCATATATTGAACTCCGTTCTATTCGTCCTGGATTGATATCGGAGTTGAAATTTTTTACTTGCCCAGTTTAAATCCCCAAGAATAACATCGTAGTGCCAAGAGACCAAAAGATTGATTTTCAAAGGCGACCTTGTACTGTGAACTGAAAGGGGCGCAAACTATTGCACGATGGATGGAATTTCATATGAAGTTAGAAAGAGATAAAAATAAAGATAAAAAGTACAAATTTAAATATAAATTGAAAAATGCAAGGACAAAACACGTAGTAATAGAATTAGTTTATTTCATGTTGGCTAATTACCAATTCACCTTTAGCGAAAATTAAGGAGAGAGCACTGATTTTAAAATTGAGAAACTACATGAAACTATGCTATGAAAATTGCAGTATCAAGCACCATAAAAATACATACGGTAGACTTAGTGGGCTTGCTAATCATAATGAAAAAGTCCTCTGATTTTCAGAGTGTCACTTCGTGTATGTTCTGTATTAAAGAAGATACAAAACCTTTGTTTAGTGTAATTGGTTGTAATTGTTGTCTTTGTTTGAAGAGACTCGGGTTCAAATCCTAATATTGACATTTTTTATATGAAATAAATAATTAATTGTACAAACAAAAATGCCCTTCCTATTTTCACTCTCGTTGCAAGAAATTTGAAATAAAGAAAAGTAGACAAAACTCTACTATATATTATTGGAGGATATATGGATCAAATTGTAATCTATCAATGATGATGAGGATAACCGGAGAAAATAAATAATAGAAATACAATTGAGTGACCACCATAATCAAAATATAATTCATTTCCCTCAATTCTCCTTTCACTCTTTCACTTTCACCCTTGTCAACAAGATTATGTTAGTTGATTATTACTTAGTAGATGTATCAAAGTTAGAGCATAATAAAATATTGTACTCTATATTATGTATTAATGATATTTTAGGATCATATTCTTTGAACCATATTAAGAAATGACCGTGTTTTGTTGACTTCATGATATAATAGGTTCGTTTAGAGTTATAATTGAAAATTTTCTTGTAAGTTTTAGGTATAATAATGTTGGATGTACGGGGACGGGTATTACCCATGGGTACCCGAAACCCACGGGTATGGGAATGGATTTGCAAAACATTCTCCGCATAAATATGGGGCGGGTATGAATTTGGGTATTTGAAGATGAGGATGGAGATGGTTTAGGCAAACCTATTCCATTGCCATCCCTAATCGCCTCCATCTAACCCTCTCCTCTGACTTTTGCCGCCATTCACCGGTGTCTCGCTCATCTTGTCGTGATTTATAGGATAAGAGCTCTCTGATTCAGTTGTTTTTTTTTTCATTTGTTATTTATTATAACAAATTTAGAGATGGATACAAAAGTAATTTTATGAATTAAGTTAGAACGACTAAAATATAAGGTAGGGCCACATTTAGCAATCTTCAAACTTTGCTCTATGTCAATGACATAGCTAATACTACATACCAGTGCCATCGATGTAGCTTTTCCAAAAGTATTCACTCACTTATGACTCATAATTGAAATTCTAGTGTCAAAATGATGTCCATAGCACTTTTATAGTGGTGATATATATGATTATTTTTAAAGTTAGATACTACTTATTCTCTATTAGGGAAAAAATTGGGGAAAATTGTGGAATTCATAACACTTCCTCTGTTCATAAGTTTTGTTATAGTATATGAAAGTAATTATTCTGGGAGAAAAGCTATTGTAGCAGTTGGTCCCCAATTTGAGGTGAAAATAATTGTTGTCTCTTATTGAGCCTCTTCTCTCCTCCTTTTTCCTTCAAAATTTAACACCTATTTTACTCTCATTAGACCTCCAAGTTCAAGACTAGTGATAATATCACTGAACCATTCGCTCAATAGTTACTTGTAATATGATGGACAAGAAAATTCATGACATTACATTAAAAAATGTTCAAATTTTACTTTAATTTTAAGGATATAAGGTTTAGATTTAGAATTAGAATTTAGAATAATGCATGGATTAATTGTGATTCTATGTAATATTACGATAGTAGACTAATACTAGCAACTAAAATTCAGAGTTGATATTATAAATCTAGTTTTAGGATTTGGTGTATACACTTATTTTTATGAGTGCATAGTAAAAGCCACGTATGTACAACTCCAACTCTCAAGTTTACAAAAAATAAATAAAATTTTTGGGTGCGAGATCATGCAAGCATTATGGGGCGTGGAGACTAGTCTTCAATTGGAATTTATAATTTTATTAATATTATAATTCAGAACTTTCAATTAATTGGCAATCGTTACCGTCCACTTGTAATTTATTAACTATCTACTAGTATTTTTTGCATTTTTATGGTTATTTTTTGCATTTGCCGATAAGAAACTAATTATATTTAAATTTCATCCACTCATTTAATAATTATAATCTCAATTTTGAGTAAAATTTAAATATTAAATAGTCAAAATGAAAACCAACTTATATAGTAGTAGATCGAGACGCCTCGATAAGTGATTTATATAGTAAGAGAGTTTGTGTTTGGATCTCAGTGTATTGCCTCCTGTTGGTAGAGCTGAGAAAATAGACCAGACTGTTTGAAAAATCATGGACCAAATCGGACCGTAAACCATTAAGAATGATATGGCCTGGTCCATGATATGTATTATATGATGTTGGGATCACTTGGTTTGGTCTGGTCTAGAATGCAGTTTATCGGACCAAACCGTCGACCCAGTCGACTTCCCAATATGTGTTGGCAGGCCACATGACCACTCTCCCAATTCCTCCAACGAGACCCAAGTCTCAACCCTAATTTTGAGAAACGCATCCCCTCTTTCATTCACAACTACATTTCACAAAAGAGTGAAGGTGATCTGTCTCCATATAACATTATGTTAGTGTGTATAACGTTATGGTGCAAGTTGAGATGCTTTGACTTTTTATTTTGTTGATTACTGAGATTTAGGGTGTCAAGTTTATGTTTTAAGCAAAAAAAATATTTTTATCGGTTATTGGTTCAATTTTGTGCGGTTGACTAAACAAATTGTTCCATTTTCTTTCTATTTGGTCTATCTGGACCAGACCGCAGATGCGCGGTCTCGTTTAATTCGTATGGACCACATAGTACGTGGTGTGGTCTCTGATCTATAATCCAGTCTCTAGGTCTGGACCGTAGATCATATATATGACCAGACCGCACTATTTCCAAGCCCTACCTGCCAGCGACAAAATTAGGGTTGGGCCACCACGGGCCACGGTCCAGCCTTCCTTTGGATCTAGAGCTAGTATAGTGCTGATTAATTTCTCTATTTTAGGTATTTAGCCATGTTCTATTTAAAAGTCGGTTGAGTGTTATTTGATAATCAAATTTTGGGGTAAATGCCACATTTGGTCATTGGGATTACTAAATCGTGTTATCTTTAGTCACCAGAAAAAATTAATATCAATTTTGGTCACTCGAACTACTAAAACAGGTCACATTTAGTCACTCTCCGGTTAGGCTCCGTCCAACTCCGGTCACTCGAATTACTTTTTTTTTTTATGAATGTCACTCGAATTACTGGAGTTGGACGGAAACTAATGGGAGAGTGACTAAATGTGACATGTTTCAGTAATTCGAGTGACCAAAATTGATAATAATTTTTTTTAGAAACTAAACATAACACGATTTAGTAATATCAGTGACCAAATGTGGCATTTACCCCAAATTTTGTGTAACTAGCAAAATTGTCTAGATGAACATATCCAAACACTACTAGAAATTCTAGCCCGAATGATTTTCATTTAAAAATAAAACAATAAAACCTAAAAGCCTAAAACGTAAAAGACTAAGTATAGAGTTTCAATGAAATAAAAAAAATCCTCTAAACTAAACTTCACCCTTGTCAAAACTAAAAAAAAAATTCACAATTCCCCAAAACAAAAACAAGAATGAGGAGACGAATGGATCTAAAATGGATTCATCTGCTAGTCCGCCGGGCGCTGATTTTCTGTCCAATCTTTTGATTTAGAAAATGTTCACAAACTTGTTGAGTTATCATTTAGATTGCTCCAGTTGAGTGATGCACTAGATCCTAACAGTTCTTTCCAGTCTTTTTATGAAGAAAATATTTACAAACTTGCTCTGGAGTTTAACCTCGAGACTTTGAAGGCTATAAGATGCATTTTTTGAAGAATGAGCTATGATATTATGCCGCTCATGTGGTTCCTAGTCATGAATATGTAGTTTCTTACATTGCAAAATTACTAGAGAAGCTGGCGGAAACAGAGATGGACACAATACAAATTGATTTGTCGGTTGATTTGTCTAATGTTGACCTCGTCCATTTCAACGCCTACCATGAAAAGAACGTTTTGTAATCAAAGAAACTTGTGAAAATCAATTTGCGTAACAAAATGAGCGATGGATTTCTTGTTACTGCTTAGCTATTTTTCTTAAGAGAGAGTTATGGATGTAGATTTTATTATTGATGGATTTGCCAAATTAAAAGCAATGTAGTAAATGAAAAGTATAGTTATTAATTATTATATATTTTTGTTTATGATATCTAATATTCTATTCAAATGCGGCCCAATGTTATTATCTATGCTACACCCGTATGCAACGTGTTCGATAAAAGTAATAAGACCCAACCAGCATATGTATATATTCTATTACACTGTAAAACATCCAAAAAAGGTCCTAACATAAAGAAGGCACCCCACAAAGCAAAGGGATCCGGGGAAACAAAAAAAGTAAAAACACAAGGGGTAAAAATATGCTTAAACAAAATCCAAATGTCTCCGAAGGAGGAAGGGGGAGAACAGAAAAGAAAGGACGGTAAAAGATCAAAAAGAGAGGAGAAGAAGCTAGATAACATTCACCCCTGCATCCAGAACTGCCATCCACATCACCAGATTTAAGCCTGAATGAAAACAATTAACGGAAATCAGAAACCATTATGTTCTTATAAGTTTTTTCTCTTTCTCATGTAAGCACTTATGTCCGTCTTACCTTGTTGGCAATGTTGTTCGACAGCCAATCCAGACCTTCGTAAAGGCCCTCACCGGAAGTTGCACAGGTGCTCTGGATGTACCTGGAAGGTCAAAGACAGTGGTACTAACTATCAGCCTTTGAATCTACCACAAGGTACCAAGGTTACTAGGAGGAATCATAACGTTACCAGTGACGCTGACGGAGGGAGTGGAGACCAAGTTTGTCAGTGATCTCCGCAGCATTCATTGCATTTGGCAGATCCTGCTTGTTAGCAAAAACAAGCAACACTGCATCTCGCAGTTCATCCTGTAAGCAATGGCACAAAATGACCATCAGCATCAGAGTTTACTTAATATATCTTTCTGAGATAAGATTAAAACCCCTATCCATCATTCGCGAATCAGAGTCACGAACAAGTAGTAACATATAACATTCATATGCAACAGAGAAACACACTGCAGACAGAAGAAAAAGCGTATAGACATGACATTAGAGCTCAGTTCACCTTCATGATGATGGCATCCAGTATATTCTCAGAACTGTCCTGTTTCTATCTAATCTAACGGTGCAAATGTCACAATTCTAGTACATAACTGAAGTTTCGTAGAGATGACCAATATTTGACTTCCACCAACAACAAAAAAAGGAATTCAAGCTTGAAATGAGCAGAGTATGATACGATACCAGCCCCTCGAAATTTTATGTATGCCACATTAGCATGTGAAATTCATGGTAACTTTACCTTGAAGCTTTTCATTGGCAGTTTAATCAGACTGAGATAAGAAAGGAAAACAAAACAAAACAAATTGAGACAAGTACCTCATTCAACATCCTATGCAACTCATCTCTGGCCTCAACAACACGATCTCTGTCATTGCTGTCCACGACGAAGATGAGGCCCTGAGTGTTCTGGAAATAGTGCCTCCACAATGGACGGATCTGCGACAAGGCACATCCAGTTTAAAATCCATTAGTAGAATGGACAGTAAGAAGTCCCGCATACACATACTTAATGAATCGGATTATAAGAATAATTCCTTTGCGAAACCAGAAGATGGATCAATTTAAAACCTCAAAATCAATTACCTTGTCTTGACCCCCGACATCCCACACAGTGAAGCTGATGTTCTTGTATTCTACCGTCTCCACATTGAATCCTGGACATAAGAATAGTTCATGAATACTGACAGCAAGCAAATGTTTAACCTACAAGTAGAATTTCTGATCCACATCATGTATGTATTAAACTTGTCACTATGCAATCACTTAGACCGGTGCACATAAAAAAAACGCATAATATCAGTCCAGAACTAATGTGAGGTCATGGCACAGGCACCAAACATTCACAATAGCTAAGAAATTATCTCGAAGAATGTTACATCGATGCAAGAGCAACCTACATCTCCAGAACCCAGAGTTGGCATCTAGCGTTCAGATTGTGCTACGATACAATAACAAGAATCCATACGAAAGAACTAGTGCAGAAATCCACGCCAAGAGAGAGAGAGAGAGAGAGAGAGAGAGAGAGAGAGAGAGAGAGGAGCTGACCAATGGTGGGAATGGTGGTGACGATCTCTCCAAGCTTGAGCTTGTACAAAATGGTGGTCTTACCAGCGGCATCGAGACCAACCATGAGAATCCGCATCTCCTTCTTGGCAAACAGCCGGCTGAAAAGCTTCGTGAACGTCAGCCCCATTTTTCTCTCTTCCTTGCTGTTGATCCCTGCACAAAATCAATCAATCACGCCATAAGAACGCCAGAAATGAACCAACAAACACATAGATCCAAGAGATCTACCACCAAACACGAGAGCGCGCCAAACCAAAAATGCGAGCTGATCACCGATAGCGAAAACCACGAAATCACATAGCTCTCCAAATCCACAATTCCAGCGCGAATCAACCTAATGACGCCTACTACCTTAACGCCGAAACGGAAATCCAACAGATCTAACCGAATTCCGGACGGAAGTTCTCCCAGATCAGCCCGAGCGAAACAAATCGATCTCAGAATTCAAAATCACACTCTATCAGACGGACAATTCTCTACGCGAAGTGGGGAATTCCGGCTAGCTCAATCGAGATCGAGAGGGGGGACGGGAGCTCGGAAAATGGAGATCGTACCTTTCTGGAGAATGTTCGCAGGCGAAGAGGGAGGGAGGGAGGGAAACGCGAAAGGAGAGAGCAGCAGCAGCGGAAGGAAACACGAGAAGAAAATGAGGCTTGGAAACAACGCGTGAGATAAATATGGAAAGAGGAGGAGGAGGTTTTTATATATCAGAAGGAAGGCTGACAAGGGAATTTGATGAGGAATTATCGGAAATGCCCCCCGAATATTGGAATAATTAACTAGACTAGTGTTTACGCGATCATTGCGAATCGGGGGCTGCCACGTCGGTGCACTGAATCAAAATGAAGAATCGGCGGGGCGGGCTGGCTGGCTGGAGCCTGGAGGGAGGAATATTGGTTCGCAGAAATGGGCTTCTGGACTCTGGTCGATGCGGGCTGGTGTTTGTTTGTTTGGACCTTTGATTTAAGGAACCAGCCGCAAGGTTTCAATTAGAAGCTTCTTTTCTCCATGGAAACTGGAAACATCAGCGATTGTAAAATCATACGGAAGGTTATACTTGAAAAATTATGTTGAGATATTTTATGTTGAAATTGCGGTTCAATTATTTCATACTGTTAATAACCGTCTACTGATTTAGACTTTGGTATAAGATTTTTTCGGTTGGATCATCGGTATGGTACGGTTTCACCAACACCGACCTACAAAACAAGATCAATGTTTCTTATTACTCAATTCAAATTTGAATTTGATTAATGATAACCAAACTATCGTGGTTGCGGTGTTCACAAACATGCTCCATGCGAGCACGATAACAAAATTCTTTAACGAAATAGCTGGAAAATGAAGAGAGATCAATTTGGGATCTGGATCGAGATTTTTTTGTTTAACATTCTACTTGTTATTTAACGAGTTAACTTTAAACTAAATCCTACCGCGAATTTCAAGCTCTCGTGATGATTCGATTGGAGTGACACTCCTTGAGTTTTGGGCCACGAACTAACTCGTTTAGAAGGCCGGAACTGGTTTGTAATGACCATATATCAATGAAAATGTGCTTGTCTTTTTACTTTTTAGAGTTCACTTTTTTTGCGTTAATAATCTCAGTTTTAATTAACATACATTTCAAGTTGAGGTAAGCACAAAGTAGACTCGAAAAGCTCTGTCCAATACACATTTACCTAATCGAGTTCGAGCTGTGAATTATTCTGATCGAAATTATGCCCGGATTAGCCTTTCATTACTCAACCAATAAATGTGTTGAAAGTAAAATCTCTTGACTGCACCAAAATTTGATAACATTTGTGTTAGCGACCTGTAGGCATTTTACATGTTGTGACGAACCGAGGACGACTCAAATTACCTACCTGTCCGGCTAACAACAGCCCACCATTAATAACATGAAGAAGACGATTCGATCAAGGAATCCCAGCTTGTCATGGAATGGAAGCTTCATTATAGGGAAATCATTGCCTACATCGATCACTGTTCAATGTAGATGGCGACGAATTTTCACCCGCCATTTCAATAGTATACTATTGTTATTATAAGCTACAAGCTATAAAATTAGTTTCCAGTCTAATTTCTGAGGATCCAAAAGACAACATATGTACAAGGATACTAGTTACTATAGTCTATACATGGATTTAGCGCCAGTATTGAGCCCATCGGTGAATGGTCTCAACCATTTGAGGGAACAACGCGCTGACACTCTCGTTGATAAGATCCTGGAAGAAGTGGATGGCAGCTTCGTCGTCCAAGTCCAGCCGGAACTTCTCCTGGAGCTGCACCCCACGAGATGTTTACCACTGGCCATATATACAAGGAAAATGAAGAGAAGACATATTAGGGTGGATACATTACCTTGAGAATGCCCTTCTCTGGGTCAGAAGCAATGTCGGGGATGTTGGAACCCGCCATCAGATGGAAGAGATTCAGAATCAGGTTGCTTGATTTCCGGAGGATGTTGTATGCTTCGCAGCAGTAAGATTTGAACCGGGTATAGTATTGACTGGGCAGAAGAAAAAATGGGGAAAATATGAACTGGATCAGTAGGGCTATGGAAGATTTCCAAAAATGGACCTCTTTCTGAAGAGCGGGAGATATGATGAACGATACCTTTCTGCACCGCCCATTGCCTCTACCATTTCTTTGCAGAGCTTCATTGGGGGTGGAAATGGTTTGGGGTCTCGGCCGAGAATAAAACCAAAGTCGACATGAAATAAACGCCCATCATCCCTGAGAAGTAGGTTGTCTAAGTGTCTGCAAGAACCAACAAAAAGGAAAAACATTGCAAGTGTTAAGCAGAATCAGAGCCTGCATTGTTCTTACCGAAAAAAGAGCCTGCACTTGTTAGACTGAATTTGTGCTGTGAACTAATAATGGCCAACTTCTGAAACACTGCTTGTACGAATGGTTCATTTTGTATACATTTTCAAATACTGAACTGTATAAAATTCTTACAACATAAGAAGATAAAGACAAAGATTAAATTTGTACTTGAATGACCAGGTGAAACTAAACCACAGCATAACTGGTTACCTGTCTCCAATGCCCAAAATATATGTGATGACAGAATAGCCAGCACAGCTTTTGATAAACGTCTCGAGGCAAGTGGCAGTAATACCAAAGGGTCCATGATCATCAGGATGAAACTTCTGCAAATAGCTTGTAATGCTACGATGCTCTGAGAGTATCTGGATTTTGAAGACAAAGACCCCATAAAAGGATCCATATGGATGAAGAATCAGAAGAGTTTAGGGTATTTATAGAAGCTGAAAGACCATAGTCAACGGACTACACAGGATTATCTAATAAGGTTTAGTGTCCATTGTTCACTCAGAAGTATTCAAGATGAAGTACCTGTGCCAAAGACCGTGATGGTATGAACTCAAGCATGCCCTCATCTTGTCCAGTAGCAAGGACTTTATAAGGAGTCAAGTGCAGATCAAGATTTTCCAACTTCAGCAATCGATCCATTAGAGATACCATTTGAACGACCTACACGTCCATAAACCAGGGGACATATCAAAGGTGTGGTTATCTCTTTATGCATCTCAGATTTAAAGTATTAGCATGTGGAGACTTGTCTTGAGGAAAAAAAATGGATACTAAAAAGCTGCACATACGATAAGCAAAAAAAACTTTAGGGGAGTCTTGCTAAGTAAGTACCAATTGGTCTTGTCGAATATCATCACCCTTCTTAAAAATTATCTTAGAAGTTCCACCAGTCTGTGTTCTGAAAGTCAGGCGCAAAGGATGCAGTGCACTTTTGAATATTGATGACTCTGATGGCACAATCCCGGTAATAAGGACAGATGGAGCCAGTGGAGATCGTATCGGCTGGAAAAAAAATGAATGGTGTGTTAGGAGAGCAGCATCTCAAAGTGTTAAGCAGTCACAAAATAATAAATTGTTTTGGTACTTGGTACAAAATGCTGGTTGATCAATACCTCCTCGAAATACGTGAGTTCACTAAGAAGCCCAGAGAGAAGCTGCCTAAGCTTTTCAATTTTCTTTTGCGTATTGCCTCGCACATTTCTTACATCTCTTGTTATAGAACACAACTGTGCTGTCAATTCTGTCTGGCGCACCAAGCTTTGCCAGAACTTGAATCCATCTTCTTCATCTGGACCAGCTGGCAACTAACAAGTACAAAAAGGATGGTTAATTGCCAGTTGACAATGTCCAATCTATTCATGAAGCCTGTGTCATTTGCTAAGTAAGATAGAAGCCAAAAATAGTACAGATCATCATAACAGTTTGCAGTTCCTGCCATGCTACAATTTTAGAACAAAGTGGAGCTGATACTGAACATGATCGCAAATAGATGGTATTCTCATTCTTGGAAATGAACACAAACTGAGACAAATTATCACACAATAGAATTGTTAAAGTATCATAAACTTTAACAGGATTATCAGCATTTGCAAAAAGATTATCCATAAAAAAAGAATCGAGAACCCATACCTTCATCATATTCTCTTCCAGGAGCTCATGAGTACAATAAAACCTTTTGGTGTAAGCATGATCATGAAACTCGACAGCGACATACCAACGGAGAAAGCTAGCCAACTCAATGTTGTTTACTGCTGTTAAAGAGCAATAACGTTTCAAATACGGGAAATAAGCTTCATCACAAAGTTTCTCGAATACCATAAATCCTATTAGACATTCAGGACATAATACATACAGCGTTGCACAAGGAACTGAGAAAGCCTCGATTTGTCTGTACGTTCAAATCTAAGAGCCTGAACTAGTTGAAGCAAGTAACATTGGAGCTCTTCATCATCAGCTCTCTCCAGAACACTGACAGCATATGCACGAACCTGTTCTTGCAGGAATATATTCAAGTATCAAATAAATATTTGTATAAATCAAGATTTTTATCCACCACCATCAATGCACGTAAAATACTTGCACAAAACATTGTTAAAATAGTAGTTTCTAAGTTTATTTCATGGTACATGCAAAACCATATCTCATTCAAAGATTTAAAAAAGAGATAAAATGTTTTATTAATATGGACTAGAATTCTTTGTCTAACAACACCATGATGTCTGAAGACCTTAACTCAGAATATGTGTGCATCAGCGTCAACGGAAAGATCTTTTACAGTACCATTGATTGTCCTAATAGTGTAAATAAAGCTTAATGGATTTGACCACTGTAGCCTTTCCGAATACCTACCTCTTCACTTTCAAAAAGAGGAGATAGAAGCTCAAGTGCATCAGAGACATCAATTGTTTCCCACTTGCCCATCAACTCTAGTGCTTGTTTGGCTTCCTGCATATATATGGTGTAACATAACATCTATCAGAATCCCAGAGCTTGTTTGCATAAACCAAGCATAAATATCTGGATGATAATAACAGACATGAATATTAGAAAGGAAAACATATACACAGATTTTACTGACAACCACATGCTTGTGGCTAAGTTCTTTCCGTCCTCACAATAGTCTATGAAGTGGAGGACCAAAGAACAAGACTCGAAGCTAACCTGAACATCACTCCACTCCACACATCGGAGAAACTTCGTGAGTGTCCTCTTCTCAGTCATCAACGAGAAGCGAAATTTCCACAAGAGCTGTCTCTCATCTCCACTCAATGATCGCGTTGGTGGATATTTTAAAATTCTTTGTATTGACCTGAAAATGCAAAAGTTCCACAGGAGCTGTCTTAGACTCTGTTAACAACTACATGCTCTACACAGAGCATATTCATCAAATTGACTGTCAACAAAAATAACTTTAAAAACCAGACCTATAAAACGGATTATGTGGAGAATTTAAGCTCAGACATCAAAAGAAAAGGACATTGAATACCAAGATTTATCCAAATGCTCGCTTACTTTCTTTCGTTTGAGCTTGGCTTCAAATCCTTGTCAATGATACCTCGTGTTAAGCTCCTCGCTAGCTTCAGTTGCTTGTGCTCAGAAGGATTTATCTTACCCACTTCAGGGTCCCACACAATAACAAGTTCATTTGTTGAAGAAATAGGTGACGGGAATACAAAATTTGCCCCTGATTCCTACGGGTGAGAAAGAAAGAGAAAAAAAAGTCACAACCACACACCTTAATGTTATCTAGATCCTGCAATAAAGTTCAAATACAAAGGTATCACATCATTATCTACAATTGCTATTATCTGAATGACATGCTTAGAAACTGATGACCAGTGACTACAAATAGAAAGCACATGAAGAAGAAAACCCCAGAAAAATCTGATGATACCTGGAAAACAACTCTATGTTCAAAGCTGCAGAAATCAACAACCAAGTATAGGTGCGAACTCCCAGTTTTAGAGCTCTCACGATCCTTGATTTTCTCCATAGCTTTAAACGTAAGCCGGTCAAGCCAATCTACACGCTGAATCTGTCCCCTTTCGTATTTATTCAGAAGCTTTTCTAAACGCTCCAATTCTCCACGCTCATGCCTTGGGACCTGTAGCAGAAGCATGTCAGATTGTGTTCCAGATCCAAAGTTACCAGCAAAGGATTCAGAAGGAACCTTTCCAGGAGTAGTTGTTGGAAATGATCCATCAGCTTCTTTACCCAACCAAAGCCTAAGCTTCTGCTTGCCTGTTTTGAGTTGCAACTTACTGTTGAAAAGAGGAATAGTAGCCCCACCAATCAGTCCTTCATCTTTTCCAAGTGAAACATCCCATACCTGAATTTCCGAATATATTGCCATCAACAAGAGTTCAACCATAGATGCGGAGCAGAAAAATGCAAACTTTGTCTGTTGCTAATCTATTTGCAGCAGAGCCAACTTCAAAATCGACAGTAACTGAAAACAGCTTCCATCCAAAACAGTCATGGAAACTAGTTGATTTTAGCCATCAATAACTCTTAAGTTGAAATCAGTGGAACCTTTTGTAACTCAATCAGCACAGGAATTCACATATACCGATCCATTTCATAGAGAAGAGTTGAAATTCACGAGTTTCTGGACTTACTGTTAAAGCAAGCTGTGAGTATCTACTCAGGTCTCTATACTTAGTACTCAATGTGATGAGTTCATTCCAGCAGTAAGCAGATCCGTTGGTCTCCAACCTTGCGCAAACGCAAACAAACGAAACTAAAAACCAAAGAACATGGATCATCGGGCAGAAGTGATACAATAACAGAAGAACTAGTTTGATGGAACTCATGTAACCTTGTTTTCATGGGAAGACCAAAAGGAGCGCCATCCATACATAATACACACTCAACATACAACTCTGCTCTTCTCTCTTCCGCAGTTGAATCAATCCCTGGAGGATAACACGAAATAACAAGATGGTAAATCAAACTTAAAGGAACCCATCTAGAGTACAGCCGTTCATTCCCGCTACTACCCATCACAAGCAGAAACAATATGCAGCAAAATCTTAAAATGCAGAACAAGTAAGCCAGGAGGCCTTCAGGGGCTCAAATGCTACGTTAAACAGTCCATGAAACCAAGATTTCAGCGAAATTTGCTGTCTTTCAGCTATCCCGTGATTATACATCTAGCAAATAGTTCATAGGGGCAAAAAAGATGAAGCCCTTCCTTGAGCCTCTCAAAGGCACCCCTATTAACGTCGAAGTCGAGCTCTCTGTCAATTAGAACTAATCAAATCATGCAATTGAGCTGAAAGCAAGCTAACCTGAATCGGGGAATTTGACAGGAGGCAGTGACCCTTCCAATCGCTCGATTCGGAATGTGACAGGGAGGTTGATGTCGTACGACAGGAAGAAGCGAAACTCATTCCCAGTCATCGAGTTTACTTGCCAATTGAATTTATTCGCAAAACACCTTTCCTTCTTGCCCCCCAACTTATCAGGCGATAAAATTACTACAGGCGGAATCCGAGGACGGAAGCTTCATGTTCCCCCCGGGAGTTCGATGAGCCGGGATTTCAAGTCTCCGGCGCCGGTAAGAGTCTGAAGGGGAGAAAGAGAAGGAGAAAAGGAAAATTAAAGAGTAAAACCGAAAACTGAAATTCCCAGTGGGCTTTGTGTTGTTGCTGATCGGAGTGGGGAAGAGACGGAGAGAAGATTGAACACGAAACGAACAAAGGAATGGACTGGTGGTTCGATTCGATTCCGTTCCACGTAAGCAATCGCCTTGCCACGTCATCCATCGGGTGTGGAGTTAGATCACTCCATTTGGGCCGGCCAAAGGGCTGGGCTTCAAGCCCAAAGAAAAAGCCATGAAACAAAATTCAACGGGAAGGAGCGGGTCGCTTGGGGCCAGAAATTTCCTCGTTCATGTCGTGTCTCGGACACTCTCGGGTCCATTCTAGTTCTTGTTCCGCATTCAGACCGGGAGGAAGACTTGTGTCTTGTGTCGTGTCCCGAGTCCCAACGCGTTTTGACCGGCCGACGGTTATTCATCATTATCATTGAGATCATGAAGTATAATCTTTTTTCCCCCCTTCCCTTTCGTAACTTGAGATCATCATCAAAGCACGTCCATAGTTGCTAACTGCTAATTAATCATCTGAATCACGAGGTTCGAGTACTTGAGTACATAGTTGTTGTACCCTAAATCAAAATCAATTGTCATTTCATCTGAAGAGATAAGCCAACAATAATAACTTGCCAGCGATTTTCATTCCTGCTAGTTAATCATCTGAATTAACGATTTTCATTCCTCATAAATCAGTAGTGCAGATAATGAATGCTTTTTAAAAAAAATTTATTTTTCAAATAAATCGCAGTTGTTTATGAAAGACTATTCAATTAATTGGATTTTTTTATACGAAATGGATTAACGAGATACTAGACCTTATAAATAGGAGTGTAAGTTTGACCCTCAAAACCCACCGACCCGCCCCGACCCTCAGGGTCAGGCTGAGTCAGTTTGCCTAAAGGGTCGGTTTAGGGTCGGGTAGGGTCCGGTCAATTTAGGGTCGGATCACATTTTTACCTTATGACCCTTAGCATCATACAAACACTTTGGACCTATTTGTAAAATTTTAAAAATTTAGGTACTAAATTGTAAAAAAAATAATTCTGGGTACCAAAACATAATTTTACCATCAGATTTTTGGGACTTATTTGTGAAAAAAATAAAATTTAGGTACTGAATGAAAGAAAAAATAAATTTGGGTACCAAATTATAATTTTTAGAAAAGTAGTGTATTTATTAAGGTCGACTCATGACCCGACCCTTCCTGACCCGTCCCGACCCTAAAGGGTCAGACGGGATCATGAAATGAACAGGGGCGAACGGGTCAGTTATACATCTTGACCCTTCAGGGGTGGGTCGGACCAATTTTCAGCCCTACTTATAAACCCTATTTAAAGACCAATACTACGATGGTGGCATTGCAAAAAGTGTTGTATCGATGCAACCAATACATAATGGTCCACGTTGGCAATAGGGAGAATGATGGGGGCATCGGTTGGGTTTAGAGATGACAATTTCAACTTGAACCGTCTTATCCGACATGTTAACATATTTTGAGTTGGGTTTACCCTTCCGGCAGACAAGGTGAGACAGTCATGTGTACTTCCTTCAACCTAACCCTCCCTATTCTCACCCTATTTTGTATGAATTACATATAATGATATCTATTCTCGATCTATTTTGCATCAACTAAGAAAAAGGAAGTGAAACTTTATTTCGATAGCTTTTTTGCTACGATATCTAATATCTAATACAATATCACGACTAGTATTAATAATTAAAATATTGAATTTTATCGGTGCAAAAATTATGAAACAAAATTTTATTTTATTTTATATGTCTTATGTTAGGACTTACAATAGAGGATGGGTTAGCGTGGTTACTTAATTTTTAGTAATCACGGTGGCTACCTTAATCTACACCATTCATTATTTCTATTTTACCCTATTTTTAAATTAACGATGAAGATTAGATTAAGGGTAATTTTGGAAATAAAAATATATCACACCTGATTACTCTATATATTATACTCAAACTATAATATTACTTCAACTCTTCTCCCTCACCGTCGTTCCTCCCTCCGCCTCACCCCACCCAACATGTCGCCTACCACCACCCTCCCTCCCCCGCCACCTGCCGCCGTCCCTCCTTCCTCCACACAACCCCGTCGCCCTCCTACCAATCTTTTCTCCATCCCTAGCCCACCTCCCCTCCCTCCCTAGCACACACGGCCTCCCCACCCCTTCTCTCTATTGATCACTGCGAGTAGTCACCTGTAACTGTACATAGGCGTTGGGCCGTGCTTGGAGCGGCACGACACAGGCACGCTTCAGGCCCATTTATTTCATGTCGTGCTTGGTACGGCCCGTCACTTTTTGTGTTGTGCCGTGAAAGCCCATTTGTTAACTTTGCTAGGCCCGGCCCGGGCCCAAGCACGGTTGGAATCGTGTCGTGCCTATTCGTCCTCGTGCCGTGCTCGTATTCGTGTCTAATGAAAAGGAAGAAAATAAAAGAGAGAATAAAAAAAAGGTGAAAATTGGATGAAGAAAGATAGCATTAACCTTGAATGTTTGAGAAAAGTAACAAATAAGGGAAAAAAGAAAATTGGAAATATAGCGGGTGTAATTTGGCTTTGTTTAATTCTTCGTCCATTTTTACTTATGGTAGTAATTACGTATATATCTTTATGACACTTCTAACAACAACAAATAATTATTTTTCTACTTGTATTTTGTAATATTTGAACCTATAATTCTTTCTATATCTATTTTCTATCAAATAAATGTTATTTTTGTGTCATGTCCGTTCTTATACTCAATAAAATCTAAAAAATATTAGGCCCAACACGACCCACTTATATACCGTGTCGTGCCCGTGCTCGTGCCCGTGCCTATGAAGTTTAGGCCCGACACGACCCATAAATTATTCGTGCTCGTACCGGGCTGGCCCATTTATTTCGTGCTCGTGCTCATGTCGTGCTCTTACCGTGCCATGCCTTGCTAGCCCGTGAACGGCCCGGCCCGGTGCCCACGTACACATGTAACCCCTCCCCTCCCTCCCTCCCTCCCATGATCTCCTCTCTCACACTCTCTCTAGGAAAGATTTTAGATCTGGGTTCATTGTTTTGGTACTAATTTATCTGTTTTGTTTTATGAAATGTTATAGTTCTGTTTTTATAATGGTATTGATTTATTTATGTAATTGTATTGCTTTGACTTCATAGTAGTAGTTGTATTGTTTGATTTTGGTATTGGTTTGACTCTTATAATGGTATAGATTGTTTATATTGGTAGTTTTAGTGTAATGATATTGTTTTTCATAATGGTATTGATTTATTTTTGCAATGGTATTGGTGTTTTCCGAAATGGTACTGGTTGTTTAACGGATTGGTATTGATTTATTTGTATTGGTGTTTTCCGAAATGGTTGTGGTTGTCTAACGGATTGGTATTGATTTATTTGTATTGGTGGTTTCTGAAATGGTAGTGGTTGTCTAACGGATTGGTATTGAGTAGTGGTTGTTTAACGGAATGATATTGATTCTTGTTTTATTTTTGCAGTATTATTATTTCGATTGAAATGAGACCAGAAAAAGATTGAGAAAAAAAGAGATATGGATGGCGAGTGTGATAGAGAGAGAAAATTGTAATTAATATATTTTTGAAACTTCCTAAAATATGATTTGTTGAAAAAGGTAATTAAGGGGTCGTTTGGAAGTTGCGATTGTTAAATAGATGTATTGTTGAGAATGCATGTATAATATTATGCATGTATTGTCGAATTTGATGCATTGTAGAATACAACGTTTGACATGTGTGATTGTGTATGTCGCATCAACTAAAAGCTGAGACAAAACAATCTCAACTCAACTATCTCAACAATCACAACTAAAAGTTGAGATATAACAATCACTCAAAATGAGTGATAGTTTCTGTCACATCACAGAAACAATCCATGTATTGTTTCTGCTGAAAAAACAAAAAAACGATGCATTGTAAACAATACATGCATAATAACAATCTCAACAAAACTATCGCAACTTCCAAACGACCCCTAATAAATTTTTTGTCATACCTAGTTTGCTTAGTAACCACGGTGATCCCTTACGATATAGTACTAGTTTGAGAGGTATGAGCTCCACTGAGTTGTCACAAACCACAAATATTAGCGGCCAAATATTACTATTCAAAGTCTTAAATGATACAATTGAGAGTAAGGCAATTTCTGGGGACCTTACTGAAATTAAGCCAAACTTAGACTACAGAGAGAGGCAGAGAGCCACCTTTCGGTGCAAGTTACCCAAAATATATACAAGAAATTTGTTGAAAGCTTTCTTCCTCCAGAAAGGAGGGGAGCGAATGGCTGTTACTTTGGAGCTTTCGAATAGACTAGTGGAGTCGTTGTAATTCTCCATCTCTTTCTCTCCGCCGTCCCTTCCACGGCGGAATTCTCAATTGAGCCTGGCCTCTCCGTCCGGATTCCAACTTGTTTTCTGTTCGGATTTCCACTGTTATTAACGGAGAGGAAAGGAAGGTACATGACTGATCGCAATTCTTAGTGAGCTGAGGAAACAATGGCGGGAGCGGGAGACGAAGAGATGGACGCGGTTTTGAGCGACGTTGAAGGGGAGGATCATCCGGCGGCGACTCTGATCGGAAACATCCACAAACCAGAACACGTCCCCGTCGAGAGGTACGCGGAGCTCTCGGCGGAGCTCGATCGGGAGCGGGCGGCTCGACGAGCGGCGGAGGATTCGAAAGAAGAGGCAGTGGAGAAGCTCAATCGAGTCAGGAAAGTTGCACAGGAGGCAATCCAGAAGCGAGACGAAGCGGAGAGCGAAAGAGACGAGGCGCTGAAATCGCGAGAGAGGATCACGGCGGAGCTGAACGAGGTCGCGGAGCAGAGAGACGAGGTTGCCAGGCAGCTGGACGGAGCGATGAGAGCGAGGGATTCGCTGCGGCTGGAGATGGAGAATTCTAGGCATTTGCTGGTGAGCGGAATTGAGAAGATATCTGGCAAGCTGAGCGAGTACGGGAATTTCGCGGCGGCCGCAGGCGGCGGCGGATTGCCCAAGTCGCCCAAGTACAGCGGAATGCCGGCGGTTGCTTATGGAGTTCTCAAGCGGACGAATGAGATTGTGGAGGAGCTGGTTAAGCAGATTCATGCCGCGAATCGGTCGGGAAACGACGCTAGGGATCAGATTGAGCAGCGGAATTTCGAGATTGCGATTGAGGTTTCCCAGCTCGAGGCCACCATTGGCGGGCTGAGGAGGGAATTGGAGGGTAAAACGGCGTTGATCGGGGAGTTGCAGAAAGCGGTGGCGGAGAAGGAAATCATGGCGTCTGAAATTGAGAGAGGGATGTGGGACAAGGCGCAGTTGGAGGATAAATTAAGGGATTTGGAAACTAAATTGGAATTTCTGAAGCCTTTGCTGATCGATCAATCGAATTTCTCCTGGAAAATTCACGAGCAGTTATTTGGTGCCATGAAGATCGTTGATAAGAACTATCAACACCATGAAGTGCCTGCGTCCTTATTTTTCCAAGAACAGAAGGACGTAGGCGAGAACCTTAGCTCTTCATTAGCAGGGATGAAATCTATCTATGAGCTAACCAGAGTTGTGGGCGAAAAGACAAAGGGTGTGATTCAGGTCAAGGATCATGAATTGAAGCGTTCAGCTGAAACAGTAGGTCAGTTGGTCAGGGAGAAAGAGCATATAAGTTATCTGCTCAGGAGTGCTTTGTCAAAGAGACCCACTTGGGATCCATCTTCCAAAGCAAACGACTTGTTTCAAGCTGCAGAGAATGGTTTGAGAGATGCTGGCATAGATTTCAAATTCAGCAAGTTTCTGGGAGATCACAAGTTTCCAGCTTCTCCTAGAGAGAATGGTGGTGGCAGCTTGGCAGTGGACCCAGAAGAGGGCGAAATATACACCCTGGTAACAAGCCTTAAAATACTGATTCTAATCATCTTTGATCACAGTTGCTTCTTGTCATCTAATCTGTTTGCCCTTGAATCCTTATTTGTTCTAATCGAAGGCGGGTGCTTTGGAGAAAGTCGTTAAGGCTTCTCAGCTTGAGATCATCGAGCTGCGGCATTGTGTGGAGGAACTCAGGTACTTCCCTTTGCAGAAAGTTTAAGAAGTTCATGTATCTCTGTTGTTAGGTGCTAACGCTGCAAGTATGTTTCCTCATTGCTTATGTTAAGGAATGAATCAAGCTCGCTAAAGGAGCAGATAGACATCCAAGCTAAGGAACTAAGTAGCAGGATGCGTAGGATAGAGGAGCTTGAAGAGAAACAAAGAGCAACAAATGAAAATGTACATCTTCTGATGAACATTTGATATATGAAAGGGGTGCTCAAAATATGTTGGATATGAAATTGTGTTGTTGTTTCGCAGATTGAGGGTTTGCTTATGGACATAACTGCAGCAGAGGAAGAAATTCGGAGATGGAAAGTAACAGCAGAACAGGAGGCTGCGGCAGGTCATGCGGTAGAAAAAGACTTTGCATCTCAGGTAATAAAAGTTGCTAGTTAGTAGTCTGGCTGTAAACACAGTGAAATATGCATATAACAATGAAGAAAGGGCGTAGACTAAAATGCTTCTGCTTGCAGTTATCAACACTTAAGAAGGAGGTAGAAGAGGCAAAGCAAGCGACATTAGAATCAGAGAAGAAGGTGAAGTTGAAAGAAGAGACGGCGGCTGCAGCCATGGCAGCGAGAGAGGCTGCTGAGAAGTCATTGAGATTGGCTGACGTAAGAGCATCCAGGCTGAGGGAGAGAACAGAGGAGCTCAGCCGTCAACTTGAAGAGTTTGAAACCAGAGAAGAAGCCAGTGGCGACCGAAGTCGAAAATATGTATGCTGGTGGCCTTTTTCCCAGTGGCCAGGCTTGAATCTTGTAGCAGGAACACATGCCAATCATGAAACATACAACAGCTCTTCCATTTCATTGGAAGAGCTTTCTGAACCCCTCATATGAATCATCAATACACACACCGCGTGTGTTAATCGATTGCTATCATCTCTCTCTCCTTCCCTGCCTCTCTTTTCTACTGGTGAGTTATACTTATTATTACACCTTTGATGTTTTACCTTAAATCTTATGCATTCACAAATGAAATGAAGAAATGGAAGCTTACAGGCGGTTTTGTCCCCAAGATTTTGTTCAATAAAAACTGGTGTGAAGTGAAGTCTAGAGCATCTTGAATAAAAGATTGGATGGGTCAAGGGAGTCGAGGAAATCTCGAGAAGTCCGGTGGCCTTCGTTCCATATATGCTGTCTTCCCTTCATTGCCTTCTTCAGTACGGTAGAATATGTGCGTTGCATTCCCAGCAAGCTCCTGCATTACCAGAGAAAGAGAGGTAAATAAGTTGAACGGCTGTCGGAAAAATTAACATAGAAACTTGAGACTTAAGAAACCTGGAGTCCAGCATGGCCATCATCAACAGCATTGAGAGCTGACTTCAGAATTCGAATCGCGGTAGGGCTGTTCCTTAGTATCTCTCGACACCATTGTACTGTTTCCTGCTCCAACCTATCCAACTGCAAGCAAAGAAGACAAGTTAGGCTGGCAATTGGAGTGAAGAGGACAAGGTCTTAAAGAACTCACTGGGACAACTGTGTTAACCAGCCCCATTCTCTCAGCTTCTGAAGCTGAGTAGAACCTCGCCAGAAACCACATCTCTCGAGCCTTTTTCGGGCCAATCTGCGAAGAAACAAACTCAAAACGGATTAACTTAGTTATAGAAGGAGACCTGAGATGACAGAAGCGACAGAGCTCAAGGATTCTTTACCAGACGGGACATGATGGAGCTTCCATATCCACCGTCGAAACTTCCTACCTGTCATCACACACACAATCAATGTCCTTCCTGAACTCAGAATAGGTCAATCCCAAACTCAATCAGGAGTCGACAAAAGCCGGTTTTCAGCCTATCACGGGTACCTACCTTCGGACCAGTCTGGCCGAACACAGCATTGTCAGCTGCGATCGTGAGATCGCAAACCATGTGCAACACATGGCCTCCTCCCACAGCATACCCAGCAACCTGATTTGAGTTTTCACCCAACAAACATATATACAATCAATGGAAGAAAGAAAGAAAAGAATTGTAGATTCGGCATAGCAAGACCAGTAGCAAATGTACCATTGCTATTACGGGCTTGGGAAGCCGCCGAATCTGGACCTGCTCAACAAGAACAAGCAAGAGGCAGTGTTAAAGCTCCAAACATTTTTCCTAGAGCAGTTCAAATGGCTGTGGAGTGACCGGCTACCTGCAAGTCAAGAACATTGAGACGGCCGGTGTCATTAGGATCAGCGTAACCATCTTTGGTCCTCAATGCTTGGTCGCCGCCGCTGCAGAATGCTTGTGTTCCCTACATCCCACGATTTCTTTCTCCGATTCAGTTCGACAAAAGTAACAGAAGCCCGGCGAATTTCAATGGAGGTCGGAGTCAGGGTGTTTACCTTTCCGGTGAGAATTATAACCCCAATGGAGGTATCATCTCTGGCATCATCGAACGCCCGAATCATCTCCTTCACCGTTAGCGGCCGGAACGCATTTCTCCTTTCCGGCCTGTTAATCGTAATCTGAATCAAAAGGGGGGAAAGTAAGAAGAGAATCAGAGCCCCTCAAATTAGTAGTTCTTTGCAGTTTGCTTAAAAATTAGAAGAAGAAAAACATCATATGAAATCAGACCTTGGCGATCCCTTCGCCGACTGCTTTCTCGTATATGATGTCGGTGAACTGCTGCTCATCAGCGATTTTCCAGGAGGCTTCTGCCGTCGACACTTGGCCGTGGATTCTGTGGTAGCTGTCTCTCATGGAAGTGGCGTGTAATCCGATGATGGGGCTGCTGGAGCTCGAAGCCGGAGTTGAGAACAGAGGATTGACGTGGTTGGCCACTGCTGCCACTCTCCTTTTCATGCTGTCCAGTTCCTTCTCCGAGATTGGCGCCATTTTTTTGAGGAGATTCTTAAGAAATTGCCAACTTGCTCCGGCGAAATGTGCCCAGACCTGGGAAGTCGGAGACCATGGCGGGTTCAGCGCCGACGGTGGCCCTTTTGAAAGGGAGAAGATAGATTGGATAAGATAAGGCGAATCCGAATTGTGTCCGTATTCGAGTAAGCTAAAGCAATACACTGTCGTTTCCCAAGTAAAGTAGGTTTTTAGTCCATTAAACCATATTCGAAAAGTCAACGGTACAATATTTTATGGTAAAATCGTGATTTAATCATTGTTCAATCGTTAGTACCGTTAAATACCGCTTACCAGTTTAGCCTTCAATACTGGTGGTTTTGTGGTTGAACCGCATGTACGGTATGATTTCATGGACCATGGCTTCTACTACTCTTGGAGAAGGGTGGGCGATGCATGCTTCTACCCTCATTCATTTGAATCTTACCGAATTGAATCAAATATAATTTATATTTCGATTCATTTTGAATTCGACAAATTATTGTAAGTATGAAGTAAAATGGACGATAATTGAATTAAGACATGATCGAGTCGAACCAAATGAACCAAACACAATTTTGGTTCGATTCTGGTTTTTAAATTTTCTTTGATTTTGGTCCGACCTTATTTCGATTTGACCAGATTCTAAAGTGAATCAACCTATAGGCATCCTTACTTTGGATGTACCAAATTTGAGGGAGGACAAAATTAGTTTATTACAATTTTGTGAAATACATCATTTTATTAAAGGAATATTTGTATAATGGAATAGGCGATGATGTAATTTAGGGTAGTTTGGATGAATCAATTGTAAAACGAGACAATTTGACCAATTGTTTCATTTTACAAAACGAGTTCATTCAGATTACCTGCACCCACCCCAGACAATTGTAATTGGCTCAAAATGAGTTAATTCAGAATTCCCAACCAAAATGCTTCATCCAAATTTTTGCTACCAAACGAATCAATCTGACACAATTATCTCAAAATGAGACAGTTGTGTCAAATTAATCCATTAAAATTCCTCATCCAAACGACTTAGCTCAATTGTCTCAAAATGAAGCAATTTAATTTAATTGGCTCGTTTGAGAACACAAAATAATGATGCTACAATTGGGATTAAGCAAGTTGAATGTCTCTTTTTACATCCTAGTGGGCCCTTGTTGTGTGATTGTCTCCAGTTTTTTTTACTATACCTCGTGGTGTAGAGTTAAGGGTCGTTCCTAGAGTTGTCAATTGGGATGCTCATAAAGTGGCACGTAAAGTCATTTTCTTGTTTTTTAGAGTTGGTATTTTTTTTATTTTGGTGGCTGGTTATTACTTATTATTGTATTAGGGTTGGTTGGATTTGAGCAGGGGAGTCGTGTTTCTTCAAATTATTGTTTCTTTCTTGATATATCTAAAAAAAGAATTTGATTACAAACTATGGATCTACATGCTTTATGTATAAGCTAGGTTAGTGCCACAAAGAAGAAAAATAGTGCAAGGTAGGGTGTTCAAGTGGTTACCATGATAATTACCAAGTCAATTAAGACTAAATCTTATTATTCACGGAACAAGGATTCTTTATAAGGGTCATAATCAGTAGCGTGGTTAGGAGACGGAATAACATTAGTTTAGAGACGAAGTAAAATATCCATACTATTAAAAATCCTTGACCAAAACGGGACAACGCTTTTTTTTTTTTTTATAAAGGTCACAATCAATGACGTAGTTAGGAATTAGATACAATGGGGATGTGTTTTTTTATAATGTATTTTTTGGGCAGTGTTTCTTTTATATTCAGAAAAGTTATACATTCATCATGCGTATTATCTATTATGAGGGATGTCATCCTTAATATATCTCAACGTATTCTCATTCATGATTTCGTCACTCATATGATTCTAAAGTGTTTCTTCACATTGTTGATTGGAGTCAGTGCTCGCCTCTTTCAACACTTCCAATTAGGGGTGTACATGGGTTTGGTGGTTCGGGTTTAGTCATTTTAATCACCCGAATCATGCACTACGGTTTGGGAAATATCAAACACAAACCCACCCAAAAAAATTTAAACCCTACTGTTTGTTTCTAATTGGGTTGGGTCGGGTTGGCGGTATTTTTAAGTAAAAACCCAACCCAACATAAAATATATAATTATTCTACATCATAAAAATATTTTATAACTAATTAAAATTTCAAACGAATGAACCAAGATGAAAGATATCGAAATTCAAAAATGTTGTTTAAATTTTAATAAAATGTGATTTATTGCAACATATGTCTTTTTTTCACGATATTTGTTGAAATAAGCTAAAAATGTTATAAACAAAGCATCCAACATATGTTATTCTATTAAAATTGTACACAAGAAAAGGATTACGTGAATCATAACTATATTCAATTTTTGTCTAAACTTTAAGTCGAAGAATGCATTAGATTAGAGAGACCATGAGAGAAAAACATGGTGAATATCTTAATTTTCTCATAAGTATATGACTATATACGACATAAATATTTTTTAGATTTGAACTCATACTAATAGTTTCGACCAAAAAAAAGAACTCATACTAATAGTTGGAATAAGGGTTGGGTCGGGTTCTACGGGTTGTGTAATCCAAATCCAAACCCAACCCAAAAGAGGCTGGTTGTACAAAAGAAAACCCTCACACAACCTAAAACCTTCATTTTAACGATAAATACGGGTGGGTTGGGTCGGGTTGGATGGGTGGGTCGGTTTGCGGGTTTGTTTGTTCACCCCTACTTCCAATGGCAACCAGTAGTAACAAACTCTCTTAAATTTTGAATTTTTGTTTATATTAAACTCAGTTACAAAGTACATTAATTAAAAGTTAAATAGATATTACAAAGCATTTTTTTTCTAAAAGTGTTTACAATAATAGGGATATATTGTGCTCAATACATAGTTACATAAAAAATTTAGTACTATAAATTTTGGGTCAAAATAGTGCAAATGACCGAAATTGTGGCTACTGGTCACAATCTCTAAATAACTATTTCCCAATCGAATATCCTAATATGCAGTGTTATCAAAACCAAGCCGAAATGGTCGGTCAGACCGGTAAAACCGCGACCCAGCCACCAGTTCGGCTCGGTATACTTTAAAATTACTATGACTGAACTGGTTGGCCGGTTAACGATTCGAACGGTCAACCGAAAAAACCGTTCAACCTGGTCATACGGCAAAACCTTTCAACCCGGTCAACCGGTTCCCATCTATCCGGCCCCTTATTAAAAGAACTAGCACAGCTTCCAAGAGACTGAAAGGTGGTCGCCAGAACTGGCGGAGGAAGTGTTGTGCTGTTCGCGGTTACAAAAATGAGAGACCTTCAACTCAGCCCTTATGTGATTGAGTCCGATTGTCAGATGCTGATAAACAGGTTGAAGAAGGATGGACCCAACTTGACTGAGATGGGTAACATTTGCCAACAGATTATTGCAACGGCTGACCAGGAAGATTGTCGTGGATTAGGGGTGGGAAACAGGTTCGGTAAACCCGACCCAAACCGAAACCGAATTAATGTTATTCGGTTTGGAATTCGGAAGGAAAATATGGATAGTTCGGAAACTAGGGTTAATTCAACCTAACCGAATTTCCGAATTTCCGACCGAAATACTATAATTGCAAGCTCCAAATGGTGGATTTTTATGTTTTTAGACTTAAATATTTGAAATGTTTTATGACTTATGTGTTGAAAAATTTGATTTTATCATTGATAATGCATATAATTTCATATTTATTGTTTATATTAGGGGTAAAAAATAATTTAAAAGTGAGAAGATACAAGTAGCTTAACAAATTCAGTTTTGTGTGAAAAACCAAACTGAACGAATTATAATTCGATTTAAACCGACCGAACCGAATTAGAATGAATTCGGTTCGAATTCGGTTCAAGATTTGAAAGAATTCGGGGACCCGGTATTCAGGAGAGCAAGCAATTCTTATGCATCTTGAAGTTCCCAAAATTTGTATGTATCTGCAGAGTGACCAAACTCCAATCATAGCAAAGCTCTCCAACTCTGAAGGGGGGAAAGAATTTCTTAGCACAAAATTGGGCTTGTTGGAATTTTTGGTGGTGTGAATGGAAATGAAAGGTGAAAGATTCAAGAGAATCTCTTGAAGTATCATGTTGGTAAGATTTGGGAAGACATGACCTCGAATTCGATCGATTTGATGTAATATGTGGTTAATTGGTTAAATTGGTTTGTGTAACCAAATGGACCAAATCAAACTAAGTTAAACCAAATCGAACCGGACCGATATGGCAGTTGGAATAATCAAACCGGTCCAACTACCATGGGGTGAACCGATGCAATGGTTCATTGTTTTAAAATGAATCAATATATTGGTTGGGGTGTTACCACTCATACGCTCCATATGCACCCCTTCATTTTCTATAAATAGCACATAACCCCCTCTGGTTTTGATAGACATGTTTTTTTTTAACCGGTACCAAAACTCTGCTAAAATCCAAAACTAGTTTCCTGCATTCTTTTCAAAGAGAAAATCGAGTAAGGTGTGGTTCTCGCCGGTTCGTTGCGTTCGATGGTTTCCGAGGTTTGTGGTATCGCTACGCCGGAAAATGTACGTCTTTTCTATCATGGGAGGAATTATTCCATAAACTTGGGTACTAGAGGGGAATAAGATTCTTTAAGGAGAGACAATAAGTTCTGTCGACTAGCACGCTTGCATATGTATTTGCATGATTTTGTGATCTTATATGTTTCTTGTGTTGATTACATGATCTTAATTTGTAACTTGTTCTATGAGAAAATAGTATTCGTGAACAATTTCCACAATAGGGCTCACCAATATAAGTTTCTTACATCACTAGCTGGGTTTCCACCTATAGAGCTGCAAAAGAGAGAGAAGGTAACTCTCATCTGACAGATGTACCTTGATAGTTCAGTTGTGTATTAGAATATATAAGCGTACATGTAGTGTGCGATGTTGTGATTCTAAGTAATTAATTTTCTTAGGAATTGTCAAAATTTAAATCCTAAACCCTGAAATTTCTCATATAGCATAAAGTTATATGTTGGTCATCTCAATTAATTTTCTTTCTCTATTATATATGTATGAATAATACAAAATGGTACAAAACGATTATTTGTTAATATAAAAAAATCTTTATAAAAATGGATTAGAACTCGAACACTCGAACTAATCGCACCATGATTGTCATCTCAATAATTGAAATTCTTAGTATCCATATGGTGTCTAGGGTCCAAGATTTACATTGTGGTTGTAAGCATGGTCGGCAATCTTATAATCATTTCCCATACGAGTTGAATTTTTTTTGTTAATCCCCACACGTGTCATTTCTTGAACCCACGATGGCATTCCCCATTCGAGCTATCTATAGTTTTGTTCTTTTATAGAAGGAACATGGGTCAAACATAAAGGCAGAATGGGTATAGCAGCTCAAATGGGGGATGCCATCGTGGGGTTCAAGAAATGGCACTGTGGAGATTAACAAAAAAAATTCAACTCGTTTGGGAAAGGATTATAAGATTGCTGACCATGCTTACAACCACGATGTAAATTTTGGACCCTAGACACCATATGTAAATTATTGAGATGACAATCATGGTGCGATTAGTTCGAGTGTTTGAGTTCTAATTCATTTTTATAAAGATTTTTTTTATATTCTACAAATAAATATAGGGGAATGTCAACAAAAAAATTCTGTCACATCAGCCGGTGCTCTTCATCCCCTATAATTCGGATGGGTATTAACGTATTTGTGCTTGGACTAAAAAAATGAATTTAGTTGCTAAAATAATGGAGAGAGATTAGTTGGGAATAAATGGGGAGAAAAGGGACAGAATATCTGGGGAGAGAGTGGCCACGAACCAGGGAGAAATTAAATATAACTAAATTTCATTGCTGAATGACATGATGAAAAAACAAAAAGAAAGAAAGTAATAGCAAAAGAGAAATATTACTAGAAAATAATGAAAATAGAGAAAATGTAAACTACACTAAAATGATGTATGCACTGTACATACAATTGCATTTGTGCTCTTTATTATCACCTTCATTATTTGTGCATATTATGGAATTAAGATAATAATATTGAATTAAGAAGCAAAACTTCATAATTTCTTTTATGATGGTGATAATGAATTGAAAAGCCGGAAAATTAATGGTAAGATATTTTGTATTAAAATCGTGGTTGAATCATGATTCAACTATTTTGTACCGATAAATCTGCTTAGCATTTTGGAGTTGGTATTCGGTATTTCCAGTTTGACTGGACACTACGATAGGTTTCTTAAACCATGCTTTTTTGCAGTAATTGAGACAAATTGGAGATTTTTAGTAGCCAAGCTTCGATAAGAAGATGAAACGTTGCTGAAGCCTGGAAGTAGTATGTTTCTATGATGGGTACTCCGCATCTTCACAGACATGTCTATTTCACCGAGCCTTTCTCCGAGAAAGTGCCCAGATCGTTACGCCTTTCGTGCGGGTCGGGACTTATCTGACAAGGAATTTCGTTACCTTCGGACCGTTATAGTTACGACCGCTGTTCACCGGGGCTTTGGTCGCCCAGGGAAGGTTCTAACTCCTTTCCCTTTTGGTCTCGTGGAGAAGTGAAAATGAAAGAAAAGGAGTGGCCCCTCCTCTTGAATCTTCTAGTTACCCATTTTTTGCTTGATTTTTTTTTATTTGTATGGAATGTGTAAGTAGCCTTACCCTCGTTTTCGTTATTATGATAGGATTTTTCTTGTTAAGATTGCAATAAGATTTAGAGGAGAGGGAAAATGCAGAGTAAAGGACATTAATATAACTGCCGCCAGTATGCAATGAGATAGAAACTTCGGTCGTAACTCGGAAGGCCTATTTCTCAGTCCACTAATTATTGACAAACTGTAATTTCTTAATTCACTTCCATAATAAAAATATTTCATATGAATTAATAGAAAGAAGCGTAGATAGAGTCATCCTCAATTTATATTTGAATGCTTTTAGTGAAAAATTTTGCATTCCAAATTTAGGGCTTTATATAGAGTATGTAAATTCCAACCTAAACTTAATTAAGCTATAATAAAACACGAATAATCAAATTAAAATGTTGACATTATTAATTTAGCTGAAGATGATACTAACAAATATACACGTATGATAAAAAAAATTAAACAAACAATGCCAGCCAAGGAGCCGGGCAGCAGCTAGTAACACATAATCGTTTCATACCATTTTGTATTATTCATACATATATAATAGAAAGAAAGAAAATTAATTGAGATGACCAACATATATCTTTATGCTAAATGAGAATTTCAGGTTTTAGGTTTTGAATATTGACAATTCCTAAAAAAATTAATTACTCAGAATCACAACATCACACAATACATGTACGCTGATATATTCTAATACACAACTGAAGTATCAACGGTACATCGGTCTAGTTTCAGAAGAGAGCTGCAGAAGAGAGGTAAGGTAATTTCCAGAAAATGAAATACAACATATGACAGAGACAAGCCAACAACCCCCGTGCAGGATGGGATAATGCCTTTCCTTTCCTTTCCTTTCCTTTCCTTTCCTAGAGTGGGGATGAACAACCATGTCTTCAGAAAGTTTTAGCAAAAGAAAGGCAACAAATTGTATTGCTTTAATATAACTGGACCCTCCTTCTCGAGCACTATATATATATATATATGCAGTCCCTGTTATCTGCTGTAAGCCAAAGCAAAACCCATGTTCTACTTGTCTGTATCTCTTCTAAAGGATAAAAGAATCCCCAGCTTCTATCAACAACCCTCGTTGCTTGATTGATTCTCAATTTACAGAGCTTACAGTGTCTTCTGTCAACAACCCAGGAGATAAAATATATAAAAGTGTGTATAATTTGGCTATTTGCCATCTCATTGCTGCATTATTAGCTGCAGCAACAAACATGTATCACGCTAACATATATATGAAAAAATAGGAAAAGAAAACCTCCCAAGAAATCAGCTAATAGTGAAAACCCTATATCGTGATTACCAATCTTAGGTATGTACTAAGGTACGTTACAAATTACAATATACGATGTGATATGATAGCGAGTTGTGTTGGGAAACAAGGTTAGAGCTCTGCGTGAACAATTTCCTGGCTGGTCGCTTCTGAAACTTCAATAATATCAGGTGTGAAAGTGTAGTCCTTGTCGTGGGAGGTTAGGCAGTCGATTGAAGGATGAACTATGCCATATCCAAAGCCTTGAGCAGAGTTGCAGTAAGTCTCTACAGTGCCATCTTTCCCCTCTAAGTTGACGTTGGTCAAGACTATGTTGCTGCAAGGGACCGTGTCACTGCATGAAAACTTCATGGCTTTCGGACTTTTGGAAGTTCCACTGATGTTTCGGTACATGATCTGGCTTATCTCCACAGCTGCTGTCTGGTATATAGAAGGATTATTATTTATTATTGGAGGATAACAAAGAAAAATGCAAGCTTGACTGCAGACATGAGATTACTGAAGCAAAACAACAATGATGAAAATTACCTGGTTTTCACAGGACTTAGGTGAATCACAATAGAATTGGTCAATGATGATGGGGTTGGCAACATTCTCCATCTTCACGTTTTCATAACGTATCCCGCGAACATAACCATGGCCACCCTATAAATGAGATGATAATTGGTTAGTGCCTCGAGCCATTGGAATCAAGGATGCTAACGAAGCATTAGATTGGAGTTTCAATTGCTGCATCTGGATACCTGCCAAGTCTTGATCCTGAGGCCATTGGTTGTCTCCCGGAGCAATGCTGTATCGAGGACAACTTTTGTGACGATGCCAGTGGAGTTGTCCTTTCCAAGGCTCCCGATGCTAAGTAAAGTTGCAGCGAAGACAGATAAAAAAAAAAGCCAGTTAAGCATAAAGCTAACTTCTTTCACCGTTGGCATGGAAAAAATCTATGCAGCAATATTGGATGGTACCTGATGCCATGTCCTGGTCCACAATAGATTCTCTTCATTTTGATATTGGAGCTACCGTTGACAATTGAGACACAATCATCTCCTGAAAGTGAATAGAAATGAAATGAAGTTGTCAGGGTATAAGGAATTAGCTGCACTCCCTAGTACGTTTCTAGCTAATTAACTAATGAAGAGTCGGCGTAAGAAAGCCATACACATGGTTGGTCAAATGGTTGAAGAAGAGCAAACCTGTTCCAATTTTGCTATCTTGGAGAACAACATTAGTGGACTCAGTGATGTGGATCCCATCTGTGTTGGGGCTGTCTCCAGGAGACGAGATTATCACATCAGAAATGCGGACCGAGTTACACCGGGTAATCACAAAATTCATCTGTTGGCTGTTCTGGACGGTTATCCCTTTAACTTTCACACCAGTGCTCGAATCAATAGTTAATGCCTGCAAAAGAACCATCAACCTTCATTTGTTAACCCCTCAGCTAAAATAGAAAGTCTTACTAGATTGGGTACTTCTCAGTCGTAGATTTTTTATTTATTTCACTAAGCGGTTATGAATTTCCATTTGATGCGAGAGAGATGGAGAGAGCCTCACAGTTGGTGCCCCTTTGCAAGGCTGCAGATAACAGAGAAAGAAAACTGGGTTAAGATTACTACATTTGGTTGGTCAAACTGAATGAAAAAGGAAACAAAGGAGCCAAAAATTGAGAAGTAATGCTAGTAGTTAGTGGATCACTAGACTTACATTTGACTTGTTCTTCTTACAAGAAGCAGCCCACCACTTGCTGCCAGAGCCATCAATGACTCCATTCCCTTGAAAGATAATTCCATTCAGCTTACTGAAATGTAGCCATAATCTTGCATAATTTGGATCCCAGCTTGCAGGTTCATCAGGTGCCACTATTGTTCCATCAATCTGCAAATCATAGTGCAAGTATGAAAACACTTGATCACGATGTTCATGCAGTTACGACTTAGCAACTTTGACATCAAACTCCCAATTTCACGCCGAGAAGCGTAACAATCCAGAGATGCAACCCAACAATAGTAGTTTGTCTGAATGAGCATCCAAAAGAAAATTACCTGAATGATCAGCTTATCGACACAAGGTCCTTTAAATTTCGTCGCATTAACTTTATACTGGCGCCCTGGAGGGACCAAGAAGACTGCTTTTGTTGTGTTGCACACTGTGCTCCAAGCATTCACAAAGGCCTGGTGATGAGGAAACAGAACACATTCAACTAGGAACACTGTCAACACAAGGAAGGCAGAAATCGGTTCATTTTTTAACTGAACTGGACCATTTTTTTATCCAGTCTCCCTCATTGAGTAATGTCTTATTAGTAAATGAGATAACAAAATATGGATCACAGCTGATGACCACCACCCTTCATATTCAAAGCCATCAGCTGTTCATAAGCATTCAAATGGAGATATAGAGATAAAGAGTGACATCGGAAGACAACGAAACAAGAACACTTCAAGAATAATCGAGAAATACGAAACAGACCTTAGTGTCATCAGAAACTCCATCTCCAACAGCGCCAAAGCTGTCTACGTTCACGAGAACTTTGCCACCGCGTTCGCTTGTCCATGAAGGTACGTCAAAACCTTCCAGCCCTTCTTCAATGTCAACGGTTTCAAGATCCTCAAGCATTCCAAGGTTGTCATAAACCATGTTTCCTGCAACTCCATGGCCCACAATCAGCAATCCAAGAAAAGAAATGAAGAATATCCGGTCCATGAAATATTGTTTTGTCTTCTTCTGTCTGGTATAAGGAAGTTGATTGATTTGCATAATTCCTGATGAAAAACATCTGGTTTCCATTTATATAGATATGCAAGTGGTTTCGTGGCATAATGGCTTGGCTTGAAAGTACTTGAAGAACCAACATTTTCTACATGCCCGTACTTAACGTACAAGGGAAATGCATTTTTAAAACTTCTTTGCTTTACTCTTCAACCAGTAAAAAGAGACCAGTCGACTAGTACCTAGATTCCGCTTTTGACTCCACCCAGTTATCCATTTTAGTCAAAATATAAAATACATTCCCAGTTGTGGTTCGGAATAGAAGCACAGTCTCAACTGACACTGACAGGTCAATTGCTCCAATGAGACCCTGGCCACCGCAATAGCATGTCTCAAGCAAAAGCAACCTTTTCGCTTTTCCCGTGTCAGATATACACACAGACACACAAGAAATATAATTTACTCACAGGGGGGAGGGTCCAGCTTAATGAAAAGACAGTTGAAGTATGCAGGGAGAATATCCAGGACCCTGAAGGCTAACTAACTGCTGACAGCCAACTTGTTTTCAGTAGATGATCGATCATCATATTAATCTCGACAGCAGCCATTGACCTCAAGAAAACTGCGACCAGACGTCTGCAGTGTCATCATCGTCCTTTTATCAGTTTCTCTTATCTTCATTGACAAATCATATTCCCAGTTTCAGCGTAGTAGTTAGATACCTGCAAGATCCAACAGGACCTTTGCTGCCCTTCTTTCCACCATTTAATTCTTATGGTTCCTGCAGTTTTGCAGCAAGGAACTCTACAACACACAATCACCATTTTCCAGGAGCCTGTTGCACGAACTCCTCCCCTTCACTCAACATACATGCACACCCCAATAGATCCACCATACAGGAGGAATGCTGTCTATCAGAAGATATCCCGTACAGGCGTCAGCGCTTTCAACATCATCTCTTTAGGCATCTATAGCCCCTACCTTCCCATTCCATTGTGAACATATCCACTTATCATCGCCGTGCAACAGATTAAATTCGACGAGGGAAGTTGATCAAACACCTTTCCCTGAGAATTCAGGAACCAGCTCTTGAGTATGCATCAATCAAGGAGGAAGAGACAGCAACACGAGTTTCAACACCTAGTTTTAAGGCACAACAGTGCACCAAACTTCAGCTGGCCAAGCTCGAGAACTGGAAGGTGATAAAGATTTCAGCGCTGTGGAAAGTGAGACCTCATCAAGAACAGTTCCTTCATCGATCATCAAACCAAACATCTCACAAGCATCCTCAGACAACGCCTCAGTGAAGCAAAAAGGTCATCAGTGAGTTGCAACACTCCAAAGTATTATCACATTCATAAACAGACACTGAGCTCTCAATATCCCTGCATTTCCCGTACATATCGATCAACCCAGATTGAAAATGGCCACTTTCCACAGGAAAACTGACCTGTAAGAGCCAGGAAATTAAAGAGCCCAAAGAACGAACAGATGGCCTCTTACCACAAAATTGCATTGCATTGAACAATTCAACGGCTTCAAGCACCGATCTCTCATTTACAAAAGGTGCCAGCCCTGAATTCCTTGACAAAACATCTTAAGCATGAATAGCTTCAAAGATCTCTTGGTATCAGACATATGTCTACAAGCCAAGTATAAATCCACCAAAGCATTGGCAACGAAAATGTTTGATTCTTTGCATCCAGGCTTGATCACATGGCAATGCATCCTCTTCCCTTTGCTGGTAAACCTCTCCTCGCAACATCCGCAAATCAAATAGCAAAACTTAACCCCGTTTTCTCCAACCCTTCTAGTTTCATCCTATTATACAGTTTGAACACCAACTCATCGGATCTACGCAGTTCAGAGATCCAACGTAAAACCAAATTCCAAGTGTAAAGCTAGATATCAAATCCCGGATCCATATAAAGACCAACCAGTGAGCTCCCAACAAAAACATTACTACACAACACGTGCTTAACCTTCCTTCAGTGGACTTGAATCCCTTCCAGGAAAAACCCCGCATCATCACCACATATATACTCAACACAGCATTTTCCCGCATCATCACCACATATACTCAACACAGAGCAAACCGTTGATTCACTCTCTCTGATACCATGGGAAGCCACCTCGTGGTAAACCACAAAGCATGCTGTAGAACTCCATATTTACGATGACCAGAAATCAGCATATTGTAAGAAACAAGTACAACAAACTGGCCGGATTTTATCAAGCTATCAATTTTCTTGTCATACTGAGTGAGAGAGAGACAGGCTCCGGATTCGGACGCAGAAAGAGGAGAGATTTAACAAAGGTAACTATCTCATATTTTGCCTTTTCTATTATTACGATGGTGAGGCAACAGAGCCGCTTTTGCTTGGCACCTCAATATGACAGTACAACAACCCACACAAGCTTGGGTAAGAGATTAGAGTGATCTTTACCAATGGGTACACATTATTAACATGTTGATCCTATAGCCTCCACAACAGCCGTCACAAACTGCATCTGGGTTTCCTCATCAATTCTCGAGAAAAGCGGAACGTGAACAAAAAGAGATCTGTGGCCCTTCTGCTGGGCGAACCACAGGGAGTGATAGTACACGTAGTTGCAGACGAATCGGCCAGCATCGTCGGATATTGTCACGTCGAAGCCTTTCTTCTTCAGCAACTTCAGGATTTCGTCGATGGAGCAACACGTCTTCACCAAACCAAAAGGATAGGAGCAAGTTAAGAAGGGGAAAAACACAGACTAGCAGTAGCATTTACTTAAAAAGTATGGTTCTTGGGATAGGGATAGTCAATTAATTACCTCTCTTGCAGAGGTAGTGCCTCCATCTTCCAGGATGATAGGGCAATTCTGAGTAAAAGCCAGGAAAAATTATGCACCAGATGTGTAGAAATTGATATTATAAGAGACACAGAGGGAAAACAACACTACAACAGTCTTGTACCTGAGGTTGCCATCCCATCTCGTCTGGACATCGAAATGTGGCTTCGTTCACTGCCTGTCGCTCAATGGCGAATTTCACTGCCACACTGTTCACTCCTAAGTGAAGCTGCAGAAGAGATCATTAAGAAAGACGTTGAGCATTACTTTTCCTAAACAACTCCAGAGAGAAAGCAATGGCGAAGAGCATATGCAGTACAGACCCACACAACAACTGGCTCATTCTTTCCAGCATTTGCAGCAGTAGTTGCAGTGCTCGATTCGAGGGTCTGGTACAGCATGTCTCGGGCTCCAACTCCAGCAGTCTCAAGAACCGTGCAGCTGCCTAGTGTAACGCCAGCAGGCAATCCTCGCTTCGCCACGTAATCCTCGAGCCTATTCACAATGGTCTCGGTGGGATTCAGGGCAACCCCTTGGAATTTCTTAAACCCAGTAACTTGAATCACCACAGACTTTGGTCCTTCGGATCCCATCTCCTTGTGGACTAGAAGAGCACAGTTACCAATTTCTTACTGACGGTAGGGGTAGCAGCTCAGCCTAATAAATCAGAGACACAAACAAGAAAATTTCATTAGGCAAAGAGTATTAACAAGAGCAACATCCTAGCTCGGCCAAAGAATCACTGGGAGGAAACCCCATGTAAGATGCTGCTTCCAGTAATAGGAACCACTAATCCAGAAATCATTCTACTTAGTTGCTATTCAAGCTCAACAGTCAACAGGTCAATGATATGAACAACCGACATCAACAATCATCAAGTACTCGAAGATGTACCCGATCACAATTCAACTCGTTTCCTACTATATTCACAGGCAGAATTCAACTCCTAAATCAGAAGACCAATATTTTCCTTGTTCCTTCCAGCAAAAAGAAGACAAACACACCGCTGGAAACCAGAAATCAAGTACAGAATCAAGAGAGCTCTAGAAAGAAAACCCAGGAACCTACCTCAAAAAGGATCCAACTTCACCGCGGAATTCAGCGAGAAATGAGAACCCTTCTGGACGGAAGGAAAAAGAAGATAGGAGTAGGGGAGAGCCAAATCCAACTTTAAACTCGAGCCCTCAAATGGCGAAAGAGAAGAAGACCGGCACGCAGCTACGATCGACCAAGACGCGGTACAAAAAGCAAGGAGGAAGAAAGGAAGTCTTCTTCTTGAGTCCGAGTCTCTCTGTCACGCACAAACTCAAGCAGAACCAGGCCGGGCTCGATTGTCACGGTATCCTTGGCGCCTGCTGCTTTTTTTTTGTCTTCACTCCTCCCTCCTTCGCGCTTTCTGGAATCCACAAACTCCTTTCTTCCGTCCAAACACGAATGATTTGCCCTTAAATAAAAGAGGGAAAGGACAAACCGTTTCCCAATCCCTTCTCCGTTCCGTGAAACCAACTCACAGCAATTGAATAACACGTTTCTGAGTTGCGTATTAGCTTCTTCCGCCAAATTCCATTGTTTCTTCCCTCAAAAGCCCTTTCTGATTTCTCCAATAAAAATAGTAAAATTCTTATGCCAGGATTGTGATTGATCTCTGAGCGGTGGTGTACTGTGTTGTACTGTAGTGTAGACTTACACTGCTGCAAGGGGCTGGTGGAGCAACGTGGCTGAATCTGATTAGTTTAGGCTCCATATGAATGGTCAAACTGAGAAAATGAATTATTTTACCGGTGGTGTAGGAGTGCATAGGGTTGGAAATTCAGTCGAAGATAGAACGAAAAATTGTCAAATATCCCTTTCGTATCGGATTTATGTTTTGTTTGGTTCAGTTCGATTAAACCAAATCGAATTTCTTGTAATTCGAACCAAAAGAGAAATTTCATTCGGGCTCCAATGGTGGCAAGCCTCGTGAGAATGAGGACAATGGTGGTTGTGGTGAGTATTGGGAGAGGAGTGAGGACTAAGAACGATGGGTTGATGATTCGCCTTTGTCAGCCTGGTGGCAACAGGGGAAAATGAGCTGGGAAACACCACATTTAGGAATTAGGAGTTGGAAATTGATATTCAAATTAATAGAGAAAAAGAACTGTCAACGAGGAGACGAGAGGTTTAGATGGGCGATTGTGCGTAAGGGGAGTGGGGATCGAGAATGGGGTAGACATGAAGCTTGAGAGAAGATGGGAGGTGGAAAGGTACCTAAGATGCCAAAGTCACAAGACACCTTAGAGGTGCATCTGCGGTTCATGTTCGTGGAAAAAGAGAACCACACTTACTTGCTCACCACGTGACCTAGAGCTTAAGAAAAAGATCGATGCAATCAAGGATCGTCTCTCCTTATGCAACACTTGATTATGCAAACAAGATCAAGATATCAACACTAATCAAATGACACTAGGAAGGACCTAAGGGGGATGTCCTAATGGGAGACTCATTCTTCCTATTCATTGGTTTTCGAGATGATGTGGCTAAATCTCTCTATGTACAAGGTACGCAAGTAAAGGGATAATCGAAACCCTTGCCTGGGACACTATGATGGCTTAAAATCCAAATTAAAATCCCATCTCTAGAGGACCTAAAAGTTAGGATACGTTATACACACACCATCAACACTTGAACTAGATGATCTAGAAAGCATGCAGGCCGCCTTTAGCATCCCCACCCAGTTTGGGACGGTCCTCTAATTAATGTGGTCATAGGTCTTTGCAAGGTCAATCTTTAGGGTCATATCTCACTTCATGCCTCTTGGGGTACATCAAGTGCACCGCATCTTAGAGAACAGTGACTTCAAAGTTTAGCTTCTAGGTGAAAGCGGAAGGCTAAAAAAAGCGTCAAAGTTTAAACTTGTTTCATTCACGTTTAGTACTTCATCCTTAGTGCGTTTTACTCGCATCTACTATGAAAATGTTGTTTCTTTCCTTTCCTCATGTCCGATATATTAATTAATATAATATATAATAATAATATATTAAAACCTAACATTGGAGTTACTATTTATTAGTGGCTCCCAAACTCATTCAAGTGTGAGTGGGGAAGTTTCAAGTCATTTTACCCCACTCTCTCATTTTATAACCTTTGTGTTCATCTACTGTCCGCCGGGTCTACATCTATTAGCCATTAGGTTTCCCATAACAGTTATTGTCTTCATAAGTTTTCATCTATTGTTCATTGTTTTCCCTATTGTAGCAATTATCCATTAGGTTTTCATCTTTGATCTTTTGCCCAAATCATCGTCTATCGTATATCCATAACTTATCTATTATGCACAATCATTGCATTCGCCCACTAATTCACAACCCTTCTCCAAACATTGTTGGTGCAATCCTAAGTTGTACCCATCCATCGTGTCCCAAGACTGCTACCGAAAATCCATACTAAATCTGCTATGTGTTGCAGAGTTTTGTATTGGGATCGAGTTTCATATTCTTTAGTGTTTTCTTATTTCTCCTTCCTTTTGGTTAAGCATGACAATTGAACTCAAACTCATGAGTATCCAACCTAATTCGACCAGGTCAAAGCGACTCGAACCCGACATAAGTATTTTTAAATTTATATTGTTTTTCCTTTCGTTGAGAATGACAATTGAACCCAAATTCATGGTACTAACGAGTTTTGTATCGAGAGCAAGTTTTATCCACTTTTGTTGTTGGCAAGTTGGGACGAGTGTGAATTTGTTAAGAACTCGATTCGACCGGGTCAAAGCGAGTTGAACGAGTTTTGGATTGAGAGTGAGTTTTGTTCGCTTTAATGGTTTTTATTTATCCTTTTTATTTTAGCTGAAAATGACAATTGAACCCAAACCAGGTGCTGACGAGTTTTGTATCGAGAGTGCATTTTATCTGCTTTTAGAATTGCCATGTTGAGCCGAGTGTAAATTGTTAAAAACTCAGTTCGAACTAGCCAAGGTGAGTTGAGCTCCGTGTGTAAAGTTGTTTATATGGAGCGAGTTTTATCCACTTTAGTGTTTCTTATTTATCTTTTTTTCTTTAGGTTGAGCACCCAAACCTATGTGTATCCAACCTATTCAATATGATTAAAACAACTTGAACCCTGTGTTTACAATTTAAACATATAAATCATCTGTTCGACGATCATTTTTTTTTATTAATGTTCATCGCTGCATCGACTACATGGAGTTCTAGATGACAAGCCATTTACTCTTGGGTAGAGGTGGCAAATGGATTGGATTGGTGGATTGGTGGATTGGATTGGTGGATCCATGGATCAAATGGATTGGATCTAATGGATTGGTGGATTCATGGATTGGATCAAGTGGATTGGTGGATTATCCATGAATCCAAATGACATCCTCAACCAAGGACCAATATGTAAAATGTAAAAAGTTTAGGTACTAAAATGGCACAATGAAAAATTTTAGGTACCAAAACGTAATTTTCCAATGATATTTTTGTATAAAAAATAAAATTTTAGGTACCAAAATGTAAAAAATAAAAATTATAGGTACTAAACCGTAATTTGCCAATGATCCATGGATCCAATCCATGAATCCACCAATCCATTTGGATTTGGATCAAATGGATTGGATTTAAATGGATTGGATTAGATGGATATTTTTAATGGATTAATGGATTGGATTGGTGGATTGGATTGAAATTGCCACCTCTACTCTTGGGTCTATATTAAAACTATTAATTTTTAAAATATAACGTACTCGCTCATACGCGAAGCGATAGCGAGCGGGCTTATTCTAGTATGATATATATGTACATTGCCTTTATTCAATCTGAAATTTACAAATTAAATATAAAATTCATTTAAAAAATTTGTGAAAAAAATCCTATCATTAAAAACAAATTCCATTTAATTACACAACTTTGCCTTAATATACATTTTTAAGTCATTCTCATGATTGTTGTTTCTCAAAAAATCACTCACTACTTTATTATCAATTACAACCATTTACCATCATTCATATACTTTTCTACTAATTAATAATACTTTATTATATTCAATTAGATTGACTTTGTCTAAACCTCATCACACATCATTTTTCTCAACTTTAAGAAGAAAAATCTCTCGAATTTGATAAAAGTTTGAAATAAACGAATTGGACGGACCGGTTGGGAGATAGAAGGTCATGAGATAGAACCAGATCGTTTAACACCAAAACGAAAGCCGTGAAAATTGGCCACTGCTCTCTGCATGGCCTGCACTCCGGTCCAGTCTCTGCCGGCTCCTCCGTCACCCCTGAAAAGGGTTCCTTCTGACCAGGTCTGGAGATAATGTTAGGTTATGGACATCACTTTCTTCCATGCTTGAGAGTTCAAATGCAGGTTAGGTTAGTGTGCATCATTGTTCTGCTTTTCATACAGGAATACTTTTTAATTTGGCGAGGAAGAAGCTCGATAAAGTGTAACTGTTGATTTTGCTCTGTGGACATGCACATCATCTTTGGGGATGAAAGTAACTTGGCGGTGGTACCACACTTGTGATCTTACAGAACACGAATTCAGAGCAGCAAGCTGGAACTGCACTGTGATGACCCGATGCAGGAGAGGAGTGTGGGTGGCCAGCTGGCAGGGGAGCAGAAGGAAGACTATAAATAAAGGGGATGGGAAATGTAATAGGACATTATGGAAATATCAACTGAATTGTACAGATTAGTATAGCTTGCTTTACCAATTCTACTTTCCCCAATTCCTCTGTAACCCTGTTCTGACCTTCGCTGGAGGTAATAAACGATCCTTGACCTTACAAGTGGTATTCAGAGCCTTTCTTCCAGCAACAATGGCGCCAGAGCAGACTCACAACACTCGTCTCTCCGTTCTGGAAGAGCAGATGGCGGCGGTCGACGAACAGATGACCTCCGTCGTTGCTTCCATCGCTGCTCTTCAGGACGCTCAGATCCGCCATTCTCAGTCGTTTGATAAAATTGAAGCTTCTCTACAAATGCTGCTCAATCGTTCGTCGCAATCCTCTTCTCCTCACGGCGCCGCGGATTCGGGCGATCGGAACGGCGGCCGCCATTCGCAGCGACGGCCGTCGACCTCAGATCACTTTCCGCGTCTCGATCTTCCCTTCTTCAATGGCTCCGATCCTCATGCTTGACTTCGGAAGTGCGCCAAGTATTTTCAGATCCATTCGATCGCCGACGCCGAGAAAGTTGAGGTGGCTTCCATGTATTTGGAAGGTCGAGCGAACATTTGGTATGAAGGCTGGTCCTGTAACCGCCAGTTTTTCCAGTGGGATATTTTCGTCGGAGATCTGCTTTATCGTTTTGGAGATACGGATCAGCTCAATGTCGTCGGTGCCTTCAACAAACTTCGGCAGGAAGGTACTGTTTCGGAGTATCAGGAGGCTTTCGAAGATCTCAGAGCTCGAATGCTTCGATTGAATCCGAGCCTCACGGAATCTTATTTCATTATGAGCTTCATCAGCGGCCTTGATGATGAGATCCAGCCTCGAGTTCAGATGTTGATGCCGCCGAACTTATCCATTGCGTTTCATCAGGCTCGATTGGAGGAGATGTCGATTGCTGCTCGAAAGAAGAAGAATCGACCTCCTTCGAAGTGGTTGCCGTCGGCGATGCCGCCGGCGCCGAAGATTGTGCAAACTGAGTCTTCTCCTTCTTCTTCCATGTCGAACAGCCGTCCTCCCAATCCACGCGGTCAAGGCCTTTGCTACAAGTGTGGTGATAGGTATTTTTACGGCCATGTGTGTGCCAAGAAGAAGCAGATCCAAGTTTTGCAGGCGGAGGAAGCTTTGGAAGACAGTGAGGAAGAAATTGTGGATTTGGTCCAGCCCGCGCCCGTCGCCGATGTGGAAGTCTCGATGCAGGCGTTGGGATCGGGATCGGTTGGCCGAGCGTTGCAGATTCCGGCGAGCGTTGGCCGTCAGGAGATCGTGGTACTCATTGACACCGGCAGTAGCCATACTTTTCTGAGCGAGTCACGAGCTTCCGAGTTGGGCTGCCGCCTTGACTCAGTTCAGCCGATGAAGGTCAAGGTCGCGAACGGGGCCGCGTTACTCAGTAACTCAGTGTGTCGCGGGTTTCGCTGGCGGATGCAAGGGACCGAGTTCACATTTGATGTTCGGACTTTGGACTTGCGGGCCCATGACTTGGTGTTGGGCCTGGACTGGCTCGAGACTGTCAGCCCTATACAGTTGGATCTTAAACAGCGGCAGATGTCATTTGTGTGGCATGGCAAGCAGCTCACTTTGCAAGGACTGGTTGGGGAGGCCCATTGTAAGCTGTTATCGGGCAAATCTTTTGGGAGGCTGCTAAAGAAGAAGGTGGCCCAGTTCACCGGGCATCTTTTTTCATTGTCCCCAGACCTCTCTTCGTCTTCTCTGCCAGCCACCCCTGCTTTCCTTGCCCCTCTCTTATCCCAATTTTCCGATGTCTTCGCTTCTCCGACCTCTCTTCCACCCTCTCGCCCCTTCGACCATGCGATTCCACTTGATCCTCTGTCTAAACCCATCAATCTTCGTCCCTATCGGATTCCTCACCATCAGAAAGCGGTCGTTGATAAGTTGGTCGGCGAAATGTTGGCTTCTCAATTCATCCAGCCGAGCCAGAGCCCCTATGCGGCCCCTGTCCTGTTAATTGGGAAAAAGGATGGAACGTGGCGTTTTTGCGTTGACTATCGTCAGCTCAATTCCGTCACTATCAAGAATAAATTTCCGATACCTATTATTGATGATTTGATCGATGAGCTCCATGGTGCGAAGTTCTTCTCCAAATTGGATTTGCGGGCGGGCTACCATCAGATCCGGATGCGGCCAGAAGATCGACACAAGACTGCTTTCCGGACTGCCGAAGGGCACTATGAGTTTTTGGTTATGCCTTTCGGCTTAACCAATGCTCCGGCCACGTTTCAGGCGTTGATGAACCATGTGTTTGCAGCCCACCTTCGCAAGTTCATCCTCGTCTTTTTCGACGATATCCTGGTTTATAGCCCCACAGCAGAGCTGCATCTCGAGCATCTGCGCCTCACGTTGCTTTTACTTCGACGTCATCAGCTTTTTGCTAAGTTGTCGAAGTGCTCCTTTGGCCAGTCTAATGTGGAGTATCTGGGTCATGTTATTGGGGAGGCTGGTGTAGCAACAGAGCCTAGCAAGATTGCAGCCATGGTCAGTTGGCCTCAACCGAAGACGGTCAAAGCATTGAGGGGTTTCCTTGGTCTCACAGGATACTACCGCAAGTTCATCCGGCATTATGGGATCATCAGCCGTCCTCTCACGGAGTTATTGAAGAAGAATTCCTTTAAATGGTCTTCGGATGCTACTGCTGCCTTTGTTGCTCTGAAGTCCGCTATGAGTCAGGCACCGGTTTTGGCTCTTCCGGATTTTTCGATTCCCTTCACACTGGAGACTGATGCCTGTGGTTCCGGGGTGGGGGCTGTGCTCTCTCAACAGGGCAGACCCATTGCATACTTCAGCAAGGCTTTGGGGGTCAAGAATCAAGGCCGAAGTACGTACGAGAAGGAATATTTGGCAGTCCTTATGGCGGTTGATCAGTGGCGTCATTACTTGGAGGGGCGCCCTTTCACCATCCTGACCGATCACGAAAGCTTGAAATACTTATTTCAGCAGAAGATTCACACAGAAATTCAGAAGAAAGGGCTGGTCAAACTTCTTGGGTTGGAGTTTCAGATCAAATATCGGCGTGGGAAATTCAATGGCGCAGCTGATGCTCTTTCGAGGCGATTTGAAGCTGATAGTGAGTTGGGGGATTGCTCGGCTCTCTCTACGGTTTTGCCTGAATGGATGGTGGAGGTGGAGCAGACTTATGAGGGTGATTCTTGGGTCACTGACAAGATTGCAGAGGCGGTGTGTGCTCCTTCTGGTCCTTCGCTGTGGTCTTTTGCACAGGGAATTCTGAGATACAAAGGGGCGATAGTGGTGGGTGCCTCTGGTTTTATGCGATCGAAGTTATTGAAATTGTTTCACTCTTCTGCTGTTGGTGGTCACTCTGGGGTTCAGGGTACTTATCAGCGCCTGAAGTCTCACTTCTATTGGGTGGGCATGAAGGCGGCGGTGCAGTCCTGGGTACGGGAATGTGATGTTTGCAGCCGATGTAAGGCGGAAACGGTGGCTTCGCCGGGTTTACTTCAGCCTCTGCCCATCCCGGAACGAGCTTGGCAGGATCTTTCGCTGGATTTTGTTGAGGGGCTGCCGAAGTCTAAAGGGAAGGAAGTTCTGTTTGTGGTTGTTGATCGTTTTACCAAGTATGCTCATTTTTTCGCTCTATCTCACCCATATACAGCGGAGTCGGTCGCTCAGGTCTTCTTCGACGGCGTTTTCAAGCTCCATGGACTGCCCAAATCCATTGTTTCGGATCGGGATTCGACTTTTACCAGTTCATTTTGGACGGAATTCTTCCGTCTTCAGGCTGTTGATCTTCACTACTCCACGGCGTATCACCCGCAGACGGATGGTCAGACCGAACGGGTTAACAGATGTTTGGAGGATTACCTCCGGTGTATGTCGTTCCATCGTCCGCAGGATTGGGCCGCTTGGATTACTCTTGCTGAATGGTGTTATAATACCCATTACCAAGCAAGTCTCCGCCTCACTCCCTTTGAAGCATTGTATGGCTTCCCGCCTTCTTTGTTTGGCCTTTCTCCCTCTGGGTCGTCGGCGGTGGGCGCGGTGGAGGATCGTCTCGGTCGGCAGCAGCAGCTTGTTCCCCTGCTGCGTCACAATCTCACCTTGGCCCAGAATCGGCAGAAGCAATTCGCTGATAAGCATCGATCGGAGCGCTCATTTCAGGTCGGCGACAGGGTGTATCTTCGCCTCCAGCCTTATCGCCAAGGTTCGGTTGTGGGTCGCCATGGCAACAAGCTGGGCCCGCGTTTTTTTGGTCCTTATGAGGTGCTGGGTCGAATGGGCGCTGTGGCTTACAAGTTGCGGCTGCCGGCGGATGCGAAAATCCATCCGGTGTTTCATGTTTCGCAATTGAAGCGCTGCTGTTCGACGTTTGTTCCCGTGGTCACTTCGTTGCCGGGTGTGGATGATGAGGGCGCTTTGAAGTTGTTTCCCGAAGCCATTTTGGCTCGGCGTTATGTGCAGCAGGGCGAGAGGGCTGTCACCCAGATTTTGGTCCACTGGTCTCACCAGACTCCGGCGGATGCTACGTGGGAAGACTACTGGGATTTTCGCGCCCGGTTCCCTTCATTTCCAGCTTGAGGACAAGCTGTGTCTTTAGGGGGGGAGATTTGTGATGACCCGATGCAGAGGAGTAGTGTGGGTGGCCAGCTGGCAGTGGAGCAGAAGGAAGACTATAAATAAAGGGAATGGGAAATGTAATGGGACATTCTGGAAATATCAACTGAATTGTACAGATTAGTATAGCTTGCTTTACCAATTCTACTTTCCCCAATTCCTCTGTAACCTGTTCTGACCTTCGCTGGAGGTAATAAACGATCCTTGACCTTACATGCACCTAAGAAATTACGGGTGGACTTAATCCAGATGCTGCTGCTGCTCAGTCAGATTCATTTGTGTTTCTTTGTTATCTATCTGTGTCAGCCATGCCAACCCCAACTCCGTGCTGCTGTTATTCAGTGCCTCACAAACACAAGACTTGGTTCTTGTTGAGCTTTGCTTCAACCACTGTACCCCACAATTTGTAACCTAATCACAGAAACAAGACTCAGTTATAAATGCGTAATCTAAGAAGTTGTGTATGCAAGTTGAGTTTCTGCACTTTGTAAGGCATATCAGCTGCAATTGCAAAGCAATCATACTGCAAGGCTAAGATTGCCTCAACTGGCAGAAACGCCCTTTCCCACCTAAGCTATATATACCACCAGATCATCTACCTTCTTTCCATGGTTTAGAAAAAAACAGGCACTCAATAACACTTCTCATAGTAGATAGCAAAACATGGGACAGAAACATGCTTTACTCAAACTCCATTTTCCCAAAAACAAAACAAGGTTACTCCACATACAACATTTGTAATCCCAGGACAGGCCCTGGGTAAGGTTTGATTTTTCTTCTATCACAGAAGAGAGTTAAGATGACCCTGTTTTTTTCTTTTTCCATTCACTTTTGAGTGATGTCTCAGTTTGTCATAATTTAGGACAAGTATACTTGGATGCTGGTAGTTTTGATCAACTGGCATACAGGGCAAACATTGACGAACATGTCGCAGTCTATACATAAGCACAGATGCCTGCACGGCATTAACAACACCGACACCTCCCTTGCTTTGCATGCTCTGCAGGTCATATGCTCTTTGGAGCCACCTCGCCGAGAGAGAGGCTTTGATGAAGGCCCACAACCACCTGTTGTCATGTTCAGGTAGTTGTTGTTAGGATCAACGCAAGAGGAAGCATCGTCGAACTCACTGTCACCGAATCCTTCCTTTACTTGCTCAGCACCCTGAGAAATTGCCTGCTGGAGATTGGTCTTCAGGACATTGACCAGTGATTCGTTGTTCTTTGCCTTGTAGTACCAATTCTGGGCTTCAGTCGCCACTTGCTTTATTCTGTCAATCAATTCCTTGTTTCTACGGTTCACATTCTCTATCTCTAAGTCCTTTTCTCGAATCTTCTTCACAACACCCTTCTCAATAGCACCAAGAAATGAGGCAACATGTCTCTGTTTCATGTCCCTCACTCCCTTAGCCAGGTGCTCCTCCTATTTCATCATATGGAAACACCATCATAACAAATAACGACTACACAACTCTTCTAAGAGCTCAAAACATATACCACCTGTTCTTTCTTCTTAAACAATCAACACATGGTTTATATATGATAACATGACAGAGGGCGACATTACATCTACAAACAGTAATATATTGGTCGAAATCAATGATCATTATAGATGCTTCCGAGCACAACCAATTTAATGGGAACTTAATAAGGCTAGCAAAGCTAAATAAAGATTTCTGAAAGACAATTGGGTCTACCAAACGCTACAAGCATTAACTGAGCGAGGGGCATTAAGAAGAAGAGTACCTGAAGTTTGATATATTGATCAAATTCCTCTTTCTGACGATCAAGCTCAGACCGAATATTGTCCCCAAGGGATGACAAGATCATTGAAGGTCCTGCTGCTGTCATACTCCCACTTGCTGAAGTCAGAGATGAGTTTCTTTCATCATCATCATATGAGAGGCGTAACCCAGTTGACACAGCATTAGGATTGTTTGGAACACTTGCTGATCGGTCAGCTTCATCTTGGCAAACGTTATAATTCAATGAAATTTGGAGCTTCTGTTGTCTACCAAAATCTTCCGCCTCCCTGGTTCGTTTATTGGACTGGAGCATGGGAGATATATGCTCATTTCCAAAATAGTTCACAGCATCAACGTTACATCCAGCTGGCACTGACACACCACACATGTAGGCGACAATATCAGAAAATATACTTTCCCAAACGAGGTTAAATAGCCAACCGAACTTTCAAAAAACAAAGACACAAGTTTTCACTCAACAATAAAATAACAGCAAAAAGGTACTAAATTAGGGAATACGATATCTTTCAATATCGGTTTCAGTTTAGACTATTTCAAGCAGTGCAAGATGAACTCCCTGTTGCAAATAACAAAACCACAAGTACAGAATATAGAGAATCAAGATCTTCAATGTCCATTGCCCAGCCAAAACCTTTTCCCAAAACACGTTGCTCATTTAAGGTTGCTTCTCGTGTTTGTCACATGCATACATAGTTACAAATATTATGCTGGGTAGCACCACAAAATAAGGACAAAGCAAGAGAAAGCATAATTGTGACCATATCATAAATTTGTCACTCACAATTCCCAAATAACTGCAGCTGGTTTGAAGCGTTGTTCTGATAAGGAATGCGGTTCTCATCCAAAAAAACTGGAAGAAGGGGATTGCCACTATTGCCTCCCAGCATTTTCAAGCAATCTATTTATCATCAACTTCAAAGGCTTCAATTATATAAACAGATGATTTCACCTGCAAAAGAGCAGAGCTAAATCACTTTCAACTTCTCAAAGTTGTCCGCGGCAACAAAGCTAGTTATGAACTTCAACCATTGTTACTACTACCCAATTCATAAATAAATAAAAAACAACAAAGTTATTAAGTTAAAACTTGTAAAAATGCAATTATCTACTAAGCATAAAACTGCCTAATTTGATAAGTTCAGATGTAAGAGCCTAGACACGTGTCTTGGCGCAAATAGAAAAGTTAAAAACATCGATCAAGCATCAACGTATCAATGTGCCAGCTGCTATCGATCGGCACATACAAGGTAAACAAAGAGAACTTTCAAAGCTCTGCCATAACAGGCTTTTGGATCACTAATGCTTAAGTTACGTGGCGACCTGTAAGGAATAAAACTATAAAAGGCTTAAAAACAGCTTTGTGTCGGTTATCATAATATCATCTGTAACACAAAACATTCCTATCCAGGTAGTAACTGTGCAACGAATCAACGCAACGCCTGCAAGTCTCAACTACATTAGGAAGACGTTACATGCACAGAGTTGCAGCGCATCAGGTACCTGATCTTCTAATACACTATGTGCAGTTTAAGTTTACGGTCTGAATCATGCACCCACATAGAGTGGGAATTAACCACAAGTCTAATAAAGGGCTGAAAACCATGCTAAAAAGAGAGAGAAACAATGGGGCAAGGTCATCGAGGCATCAGACCACTTAGCTCAATGTGATCAACAACTCTCTTTGTCATATCCCTCTGCGAAGGAGACACAAATGCTTTGCGAAAGACTTCTTCCATCAAAATTACACTCACATATGAAATTGCATAACCAAACAAGACAGATGAGATCAAACCCTTCAAGTTCAATGAACTAATATTATGCAAAATTTGTTGGGAAAGTGAATTAGGTAGAAACCGCAAATGAAAGCTCCAGTGAAGTAGGTAGTACCGATAATGGGAAGAAGTGAAACAATCACAGAGAGATAAAATCGAAAAGCTATGTCCAGGAAATGGAAGGAAGAACTTGTCTGACACAAATAGCAAGACTGATGAATGAAAAACGGAATGCAAATGGAAGGGTGCGCAAGAACCTAAAGATTTGATCTTCACCAAGAACCCAACAAATCTATCGAAACCCAGAACTTGTCAACCACTAAAAAGGGAAGAAAACGGAAGACCACACATAAACAAAAAAAAAAAAAAAGGTATGTTACCTTAATTATCAATCCCCCTTCAATTTGGTTTCAGCAGCAAACAGAAGCAACCGATCCTGCAATTTCCATTCAACACTGTCAATGATCGCACCAAAAAAAAAGGGAAACAATCAAGAAGCGGAAAGCAGAAGCAAAGCCCAGAAATCAATTGTTCCAAATTGCCATACACGCAAGCAAACAACAATATACCAAGCCCCAGAAGAAGAAGAAGAAGAAAACAAAAGAGAACAGAAAAGACGAGACCTTTGCAATAAAAAAATGAACAGAAGGCGATGATCAGCTTATTGAGACGATCTGAGAGAAGACCCAGAAATGCACCCCCGAATATCTGCAGATAATTGGAGGACAAACACGAGATGACGATGATAACAAAGACGCGGGAGGGCGGCGGTGGTAGAGAAAAAGGCCAGCGGGGATATGACAAAAAGAAAGTAGGAGGAGGAGGAAAAAGGATGAAGAAGAAGAATGGAGAAGAAAGCAGATGATCTTGCGGTGGGAGTGGGGAAGGAGGGAGAGGCAGGGGAGTTGATAGATGAGAAAAACGGACGAAAACCCTCCCCCGAAAACCGAAAAAACAATCAATAAAATAACAGGCTAGAAAACAAAAACAAGAATAAAAAAATGGGCAGTAATGGAGAGGAGGTAAGCAAAGCAACAGCGAGGGTGGGGAAAGAGGAAGAAAGATAAGGGGAAGAGGGTAATGGGCTAATGGCAGAAGAAGAAGAAGAAGAAGAAGAAAGGAGGGGAAATCGGGCAGCGGGCAGACAGCCACACCAAGAAGGAAGCTGGTAGCGGGCAGAGGGAGTCTATCTTTTTCCTTTCTCTGGACTGGACTGGACTGGAAGAGGAAGGAACTCCCTGGCTACGCAATCTATTGCCGGTTGCGGAGGTCAGTTAAATTTCTCTCGGGAGGAAGACGATGAAAAATAGAACATTTTCTGCATTTATTTTTTTTATTTAAAAGAAAAATAGGTAGCCGATAGAGTGGAATTGAATAAAGACGGGACGAGCTTCGTGACCGCAATTAACAAAGAATGGGTCCCACCCGTGAGATTGCAATTGAGAATTGAATTGATTTGAACGAGAATTTAAAGCGAGAGGGTTAGCGGCAGCGGCTTTCTCTATTTCATTTATTTATTAATTAATTAGTTTAAATTTTTATGATTCATAGAACCATGTAGAGACTTGAACCCAACTCTTTCAAAAAATTAGATGAGAGGTGCTCTCTCCTCTTTCCTCAACCTGTGTGCCTGGTTTGGCCGTTGTCTTTGGACGGCGGCGCTCGCTTTCCTCTCGGCTAGTTTGCGCAATCAGACGCGCTTCTGCATGATGAAGAAAAGGTCGGCCGGTGGGGGAATGATTGAACCGAATCGGAATGGCCAAGCGGTAAAACAGGGGCCCTCGGCGGTGAGGGCAAAAGGCTCAAAAACCCGATTCGAATTCCGTCGACGGGCGTGCTCAAGTCCTGGCAAAAACAAAAGACGTTTTACAGATATGAATTCCGAATTAGGCCGCTCCGGAGCTGTTTCAGTGAAACGGTGCAGAAGAGAGGGTCTGAAGGGATGGCGCTTTTGGCTTCCCCCTTCGTCTGTTCTGGATGGGGCTTTCTCATCTATTGGTTCGTTCCCTGTGGCGGACGACCACCAATCTGGACCCAGAATGGGGCAGAATCAATCTTCTCGCAGCTCTGACTGCGATAACCCCCTCGGGGAAGTGGAACCCGCAATGGGAATTAAACAAACCTTTCGCAGCGCTAAGTGCGATCAACCCCTCGGGGATGAAGGGCATGTATTGCCGTCAAATGATGGGCTTCGTAAAAATACTGTGAACCCAGAGTGTTGCTCCGGCAACGTTCTCCGACCGACATTGTCGCCGGCCGACGGGACCTCAAAACCCCGATTTCTTCAAATCGTAACGGCAGGACAACAGTTCGGATTTGAATCCCTGATTTTGGGGGGTGGGATGTTGCGTGGCATTATCCCGCCTAGAAAACAACAAAAATCCAAATTAATCCAAAAAATTGAGAATCCGATCTCAACTGATACTGGACTTCCTAGTCCGTTTAGACTTCTAAGAGCGGGATTGGATTGGCAGATTGGGCGGCCCTTAAAAGGAGACCCTTTCCCCACTGTCTCGTATACCTCTGACCCTCGTACCTGGCTTCACGTAGCTGAAACGTTCAGAGGCAACAACAATCGGGGAGCGCCGCTGCAATCTGCTGTTGCCACCGAGAATCGCACAGGTATAATGAATCAGGATATAAGATCATTCCCCTGTGCTAGTAGTTCTCTTCACCTCTCCCGTTCTTCTAGTCTCTCCCCATCTTCCTGTACTATATCGTGGCTGAGTTTTGTTCAGGAGACCACTAGTCTGGCTCGGAACTGTCTTTTGTTTGATCCTCCCTCTCTTTTCCAGGAATCAACAATGACTCGCGCTGCTAACGATCAGGTCGTCGAATTCTCTCTAGAGGAAGTCCAGTCAACGAAATTCCGTGCATCTCGAACACTGCTGGGACGTATGTTTTCGGAGAGCCAACTCACAACCAAAGAGATCAGGGAGGAGATGCTTGTGGCCTGGCAGATTAGGGGCCATTTACGGGTTAGCCGCACTAAATATGGGCTGTTGGAGATTGTTTTGCCAAGTGAAGAAGCCAAGATTTGGATTTTGAAGCGAACTCCCTGGGTGATCAAGGATAAACTGATAAACCTTCGATCGTGGACACCAATGATTAGCAAGCAAATCTTTGACGAGCTTGCTATTGCCCCGTTCCGCATTCAGCTTTGGGATGTGGTAGAAGACTGTTGTACTAAGCAATTTGGCCAAAAAATTGTGGCTCCAACTATTGGCCAGGTTTTAGAAACCGGGGTTTTTGCTTGCAAAGACTCGGGGGAAAGCTTTATCAAAGTGCGGGCTTTGGTGGATTTCTCGAAGCCGTTGCGGTCCCAACTCATGGCAGTTAGCGATGATCTGGATGGATTCTGGGTTCGCCTCAAGTATGAATTTCTTCCCAATTTTTTTCTATCACTGTGGTCGTGTGGGGCATTCACGTCGGGATTGCTCGTTTGATCCTCCAGTGGGGAAAGAAAAATTCGGCCCACAAATGTCGACAAAAAAGTTTGGACGCAAAATCTATGATGACGTTGATGAGAATGTAGGCTTTAGAGGCAATCGTGGCTCTGTCTGGATCAATAAGCAGGTCCGGCAGCAGGGAGATGGAACTGCTATTCCAAACAAAGGCAGTGAGCCTGCTGTCCAAATGAATGGGCCGGGTAGGCCACATCAGGCCCGACCGGCAAGACAGGCCCTGAACCGTGAGGGGGGGAACCCAAACCACACTTTGCCTAAGCCTAAACCGAAGCCCAAAACCTCTTTTTCCAGCCCAAAAGGGTTTCCCGTCCGCAAATCTCCTGTCTCCCGCTTTAATAGTGGGCCTCGCCGGCTGCCAAGGCAGAGCCCAGATGGTGGCCGTGCCCGGTGTTTTGAGCCTGGCAGAAGCACTAGCCCGGTAAAGGCCCACCGAAGGGGATCGACCCAATCCACCATTCTGGCTTCCCCTGAGTTGAAGTCGGAGATGCACGCTGTCCTGGAGCAGACGAGGCGCCGTCGCATAATCTTGGAGGAAGACTCGGATGATGACGTGCCCTTTCCTGGTCGTGCTGAGTACCCGGCGGAGGATGTGCGATTGGAAGACGCGGGGAAGGTTGTCCAGGAAGAAAGGCCTGGCTCTGCTGGGGATTATCACCCACATGGGGGAGACGACACCAAGCTGGCATTGAAGGAGAAAGCTGGGGTTTCTAGCAGCATCGATCAACAGAAACCTCCTGTGCTGCCTTCTGTTAAACGAAAAGGTCGGCTCGCCCTGGGGGGTCCTCCCTCGACCTCTAGAGCTTATAAGATGAAAGCCCATGGGGTCGGCCGCAAGGGTGCCCCGGTGGACGACTCCGAATTGCCCAGGAACCCTCCTATTGGCTCGCCAAGCAGCGGGAAGGGAGGGATTAATGCTGCGCACACTGAGGGAATTAATTTAGAGGACTCGGACTCGAATGAAGAGGTGCATTGCTTTGAAATCAAGAAACGTGCACCTCCGAAGAAAGAACAGATGTCGTCCCAAGTGCCCTCAAACCGTGTCAGCAAAGTTGTGGCTGCCTTTGAAGCTGGCCTGTCGTTGAACCAGGAGGATGGGCAAAGCAATAATGTCTGGAAGATGATGCCAGTTGATGGTGATCCGGAGGGAGCTAGCGCTGGATCGGGGCTGGATGAATATGGCTCTAACATGCAGCACCCAGCCTTTGAATCCCGTAAGCGCTCATTGGAGTATGTAGGAGGGGAATTGGAGGATGCCCCTAGTCCGAAGAAACAATTTGTGGAAGTTGATGAAGTCTCTGTTCAGGTGGAGGAAGCCAGCCTTGAGTGGCCCCAATCGGATAAATGAAACTATTGGCATGGAATGTGAGAGGGATTGGACCATCCCTCACATTCCAAACTGATGTTGGTCTTGTTCGCTCCAATAAACCGGACATTGTGTTCTTTTCGGAAACTCGGTCGAAACGGAGAGTAGTTTCCCGCCGTTTGCGCGGGCTAGGGTTTGATTCTTCCTGTTGTTTTTTTGTGGATGCTGTTGATGCTTCGGGTGGGTTAGTTGTAGCCTGGTCCCCGGATGTATCGGCGTCAGTGTTTTTCCATTGGAATTTCTGTGTTTGTGTTCAAATTAATGAAATGGACTTTTCGTATGTCGCGATTTTTGTTTATCTTAGCTGTCATGTGACCATCCGCACTGCCCAATTGGAGCAGCTTCAGGCAGTTTGCACTGGCTTCCAGCTTCCTTATGTAATTTTGGGGGATTTTAATACGACTCTCCATGAGAGTGAAAAGGATGGTGGTAACCAGTGGAATAATGCGCAAGCCCTCGGGCTCAGGAATTTTGTCCACAACTTGGGACTTTTGGACCCTGGTTACCAGGGGGATCTTTTTACCTGGACAAATAAACGGATGGGGGCGGCTTGTATTCGGGAGAGACTGGATAGGGCCCTTTGTTCCCAATCCTGGATGGATCGCTTCCCGGAAACCCTGCTGAAGCACTTCACGGATCAGGGATCGGACCACCGGGCGATCCTCCTCTCCGATAAGCCTTATGTTCGTCATACTCGGCCCCTATTCCGGTTTGACGCCCGTTGGGCAGATAACCCTGAGGTCAGGGCTATGGTCTCTTATGTTTGGCAGGAGGACGTCCAAGGGACGCCTATGTTTCGTCTTTGGGAACGCCTTAAGAAACTCCGTCATCTCTTGTATGATTGGAGTAGAGCCGGTACCACTAATTCCCTGCGTAACATAAGAACCCTTCAGAGTGAAATTGAACGTATCAAACTCATACATCCTATTGACTGGGATGAGGTGCGCCGGCTTGAAAGTGAGTTGTCGAGACAATGGGAAGCGGAAGAAGTTTACTGGCAACAGAAGTCTAGAGTTCACTGATTAAAGAAAGGGGATAAAAACACGTCGTACTTCCATACGGTGACTCGAACTCGACGTAAAAGAAATTTTGTGGCTGGTTTGAGAAAGGAAAGTGGTGAATGGGTCACTAATGAAAAAGGGAAAGTGGACATTGCAACTTCTTATTATGGCCATCTTTTTACGACTGAAAATCAGGTCCTGAATATGGGGGAACGGGTGGCTTCTCTGCCTATTGCCCGTAGTGTCACCCCAGAAATGAATGCTGAACTGACTTCTGCTGTTCTCCCAGCTGAGGTTCGGCGAACTGTTTTTGCTATGGGATCTAAGCAAGCGCCGGGGTCGGATGGCTTCACGGGTAAATTTTTTAAGGCTTTCTGGGGGATTGTGGGTGATTCGGTGATAGAAGCAGTTTGCTCGTTTTTTACGAGTAGTAGAATGCTCCGTGACTCGCTATGACACAACTCCTAACAATGGCCAAGTGTAACCAATGAAAGGGACTGCAGTATAGTGGCTCAAGTAAT